CGAATGAGGATGATGCGGAGTAAGCAGCAAGGAAAGGCAGAAGCAACTGCACGCTTGGCGAGGCACTCGCGATTCACATGCTCGTGATAGTTGGATCGTCCCCGAGGCACCAGGGCTGAGTGCTGTGGGTTCTCCGGGCACGAGTGGTGTTCACACTCCAGCGATTGAGACCAGGCCAGCTCCACTATGGAAAAGCCCCGCCCAGTGCGCACCCTGTGGCCTCTTGTGGTGAAATTCCCGCTCGCGGGCCGCCGACCACCGCAGTCGGGCCCCACACACGGCAAAGAGCGTGGAGCGTGCCTATCGAGCAGAGCGGGCTGAGGCTGGGTCGATTCATGCCAGTTCTGTTTGGCCATAGGAGTGGACATAGCACCCTGCAGCTGTGTCGGCACGTGGCCGTGCTGCTCGATAAGCTCAATCAATTGGCAAACTAAACCGGCCTGCTCGCCATCGAGCTTGGCGAAATGGCACGGGTTAACACCGTCCCAAGTGGAGGCCGTGCTGTGAGGGAAACCTCTGGACGCCTTTCGTAAACGAACAGGAGAAACCCAATGTGGAGGAGCCTCGGGGTGAACATCCAAAATCTTACCAAGTCTGTCGGCCTCTGCCTGGAGGATCTGCTACGGCCGTTCAGAAAAGCACTGCCGATGCGGAGCAGAAACTGGTTGTCAATCTTATAACTTTTATATTCCACTTGGGCGCCCATCCCATGCCCCCTTTCCTGGATGAGTAAACCCAGTCCCTCCATTCCTTCCCGTCCTCACTGCGATCGGATGCCAGCTCGGTATTGATCACCTTGCCTACTTGCTCGAGCAGCTCATCTAAGATCTGGATGCCCAACGTGGTGTTGATCCTCTGCGCTTGAAAATTCTCGTGCAAGAGTCCTGCAGCTGTGCGAACTTCCTGCAGCCCCAAGGTCAGAGGAGGCTTCAAATGAGCCTGGGCTGCCCTCCAAACTGTAAAGAATGTTCCGAAATTCCTGGATCTCATCATCCTGGATGCTGCGTCTAAAATCTTGCAGCCGACGTTGAAGCCACCTCAGAGGCCTAGAGTAGGGCGTCTAACACTTGCGTCCGTGGGTACACTTGGCACGCTCGGAAATCATGCCTTGGGGGTCTTGCTAGGCTCGATGGGGCGTCCGTTTTCTTACGAAGTGTGTGTGTGTGTGTGTGTGTTCAAAGTCGTGGGTGAGGGTGAAGTACACGCGGTCCAGGATAATCGCGCGTTGCTGGTCGGAGAGGGGCTGCGAAGCATCTCCGAGCAATTGGATAGCATAGTCTATCCCAACAGTTGTCTGATGCCAGCTTCCTGACGGAAGCTGGGGACTGGTTGGCACCTGAGTGGGGAGCTTATGTGGCTTGAGGGACGTCGGGAGCTTCTGGGCACCTGAGTAGGGAGCTCCTGCGCACGCAGTTTCACAGTGACAGGGCGGTGGGGCGAGAGAGAGAGAGAGAGAGAGTAGGCGACCAGGCTCCGAGGGGTTCTAGCCAGGGGCCGAGAACCTGGCTGTGCAGAAAACAGTCGAGGGTCGGCGTAGTCTTCTTACTACGGTGGGTGGCGTCATAAGGCGCCGCCACCTGCATCGTGGCACGAGTGGGGGAGCCTGTGCCCTTCTGTATGCGCTCAGGTTGCGGGTTGAAATCACCTGCAACAATGAACGGCTTAGCTACTAGGTCTTGGGTCTGGTCGGTGGTAGCCAGCAGGTGTAAAATTGGTCTCGTTGAGATCAGCAGAGGCTTACGTAGGCGCTCACGAGTCCAAAAGCAGAAACTCCACGGGGCCTCGATAAGGACCCCCGTAAGCCTGGAGCTGTCCGTCTCAAAAGGACATTGAAACGGCTGGACCCCCAAGTCCAAGCCATCCCTAACAAGACTCGCCACCCCCGAGACACGCTCACCCGATGTTTTTTTGGGCGGCAGGGGTGATATGGGCGAGCCACCCGCGTGCGAAGCACCATTGTTTCTGGCGAACAACGCTTGCCCCTGCTTCAGCCCGACACTCCTTGGCACAAGTGGCAGCAAAAGGAGTGGCTGCATCCGGCTCAGTCAGGGCTTCCACTGTAGCCCAGCATGAACCGCTGATCGTAGCAGTGGCAAGAGCAGGAGGAGGAGGAGCATGATGATGAGGATGAGGATTTTGATGTTCAGGAGGAGGACGATGCAACTCCAGATGATACTCACGAGGGCGGAGGACGTGGGAGGGATACAGCGTGGGCAGGCGGAGGAGGCGGAGGCGGAGACGGAGGCGGAGGCTGATTATCACTAATCATCGAACGAGGGGTGATGTTGCTGCGGCTGATGATGATGATGATGATGAGGATGCTGGTCGCGAAGATGACGATACCGATGATTACGATGATAGTGATGGTGGCAATGACGATGATGACGGCGATGATGATGGCGATGTTGTTGGTGATGATGAGAAGGATCATGATGATGACGAGGATGAGTAGGACGCGGAGCATGGGAATGCTTATTTGTGTTTGTCGTTTGCCTATTGTGGTCTGCGGGAAGGGGGTCGCTCTCGTGGCAACGGCTAGGCATGAAGGATGATGATGATGATGATGATGATGATGATGATGATGATGATGATGATGGTTGTGGTGATGATCATGATGGTGGCGATGGCGATGATGGTGCTGAGGGTGAGGTTGCTGATGATGATGACGATGATACTGATGCTGCTGATGATGGTACTGCAAAGCTGAAGATCATGATGATGGTGCTGCTGCTGGTAACGATGATGCTGATGATGCTGAACATGCTGGTAGTCATGTTGGTGGTGATGGTGATCGTGGTGATGTGTATGGTGACGATCATACTGGAGATGATGTTGACGATGATGATGCTGATGATGATGGTGGTGATGACGATGTTCATAATGATGCTGACGATGATGATGACGATGCGGATGTTGTTGATAATGGGTATGGAGCTTTTGATGATGACTAGGAGGAGGACGAGGAGGAGGAGGAGGAAGGAGGACGGACGGGAGAGGATGAGCGATGAGAGGATGAGGAGGAGACGGAGGAGGAGGAGGAGAAGGAAGAGGAGGAGGAGGACGAGAAGGAGGAGAAAGATGAGGAGGAGAAGGAGTATCCTAAGATGGGGTTCGTGCGACTCATTCGCGTCCTCATAGTCCCGCCTTCCCCTTTCCGCGCTCAGCGTCGCTCATGCTCAGACTCAATGTCGCTCAGACCCACTCGCACTCGGGCTCACTCATACTCAGACTCGGAGGAGGAGACGGAGGAGGAGGAGGAGGAGGAGGAGGAGGAGGAGGAGGAGGAGGAGGAGGAGGAGGAGGAGGAGGAGGAGGAGGAGGAGGAGGAGACGAGAGAGGATGAGCGATGAGAGGATGAGGAGGAGACGGAGGAGGAGGAGGAAGAGGAGGAGGAAGAGGAGGAGGAGGAAGAAGAGAAGGAGCAGGAGAAGGTGGCACATGAGGATGAGGAGGGTGCGTGGGACTATGAGGGAGTAGGGAGGACGCAGAAGGAGGATGATTGAGGAGGAGGATGGGGAGCAGGAGGAGGAGGAGGAGGAGGAGGAGCTGGACAACTAGGAGGAAATCGGAGGGTCGGGGGTGAGATCGCAGTGGAACGGAGAGCCCCCCATAGGGACATCAGTTTCGGTTTCGTGGCCGTGTCGTGCGTGCGGGCGAGGCGAAGCTGGGTGGGCGCGCGAGAGCAATAACCTCGCCTTCGCCAGGGCGATTCGGATGCAGTGGACCGCCCTTCCACCCCTGTTGGGCACGCGGTGGCCCGGGGTGTCCCGCCGTGGTGTCTTGTGGTGTCCCGTTGGTGTCTCCTTGGTGTCCCGTCGGTGTTCCGTCGGCGGTGGGCGGGCGGTAGCCGGGGGTGCCCCGCCTTGGTATCGATAGTAAAGTCGATCGTGAGATCGATAATGATATCCCTAAAATGGGATGGATAGTGAGATCAAACTTGATATCGACAGGGAGGTGAATGTTTGACAGTGGTTGTGAGATCGATTGTGAGATCGTTAGGGGAATCGATAGTGATATCGATAGTGAGGTCGAACGCGAGATCTATAATGAGATCGAGAGTGAGATTTCTAGAGAGAACGATCGAGTGCGATTGATCCTGTGAGGTCGATAGTGGGGTCGATCGAGGAAGATCGAAAGCGAGGACGATAGTGCAGCGCAACATCGTCATCACGCGTCGTCGCTAACTCGTGGACGCGTCACCAGCATCGTCATCATCACACCCATCGCATTTGCCAGCAGTTGGTTCTTTCCCCCTAGCCCTCAACCTCCGTATCACCGGAAGGGCGGTTGTATAGGTAGGGTTCTGAGGCATGGAGGAGGTGGGAGGGAGGAGCCAGCAGGGAGCAGGAAGGCGTGAGGAGGCGGAGGAGGAGGAAGAGGGGGAGGAGGAGTGTGGAGGGAGAGGAGGTCAATTTCTGACGATGGAGGAGGAAGGAGGAGGAGGAGGAGAAAGAGGAGGAGGTGGAGGAGGAGGGATGCGGAGGAGTCGGAAGAGAGAGAGGCAGGGGGATAATCATAATGGTGACGACGACTACTGTGGCGATGAGGGTGCTGACGGGTGTCAACACCGCCGGCGACCACCACCACGAAAACGACAACAGAAAGAAGATGCTGACCACCGCGACGGCGATGGCAACCCGACGACGCGGACGGAAAGACCGCCGCCCACCGCGTCGGCCACCGATCGACGACGACGGACGGACACGTCGACGACGACGGGAAGGCGACGACGACGGGAAGACCGCCACGACCACGACTCAGGAGGGGAAAAAACACACAGACACAATGAATCGTCGACTCCCAGGAAAATATGGGAAAGTCTGGGAAGTGTGGGGGGAGACAAAAAAACCCAGAAAATATGGGAAAATATGGGGAATCCTTTCAGTTGTGTGTATTTATTTGTGTGTCCCAGTTCCCCTTCAACGACGGCGAGGGCAAGACTGCGCTGGCGGCCGCGGCGACGACGGCGACGGCGGCGGGAGCCGCCGCTCGCGCCCCAGGTCCGCCGAGGGAGGCCCCGCGCCGGGCCCGCCGGCGTGCGCGCCTGGGGCGGCCGCGTCGCGTGCGACCGCACGACGTGCGAGGAGCCCCCGGCGCCGCTCGGGCGCTGGGCGGCCTGCGAGGGGGAGGGAGGAGGAGGAGGTGGAGGTGGAGGAGGGAGGGGGAGAAGATGAGGGAGGAGGGATGAGGGATGGGGGATGGGGGATGGAGGATGGGGGAAGGGGGATGGTGATGATGTTGATAATGATGCTGCTGCTGATGATGATGATGGTGATGATGCTGATGATGAAGGTTGTTGTTGATGATGATTATGCTGCCGCTGATGATGATGCTGACGATGCTGATGACGATGATGGTGATGATGCTGCTGCTGATGATGATGCTGGCTGTGGCGATGATGCTGGTGATGATGAGGGTTAGGATGAGGATGATGAGGATGGTGGTGATCATGCTCATGATGATAATGATGGTGATGATGTTGTTGATGATGATGATGATGATGATGGTGGTGATGAGGGTAATGATGGCTAGGACCATGATGATGGCGATGCTGATGAGGATGACAATGATAAAGTTGATGATGATGTTGTTGTGGATGATGTTGATGACGACGATGACGATGATGATGCTGATGATTCCTGGTCGCGCTTTCATTGCAACAAGCAGAGCCTCAGTGTACAGTGCATTGCTGGCTCACGCGAGACCGGACCCACGCGGTTGAGCGTCTTTGCCCGAGTGGGTTCCTGAACCCAAAGGAAACTACAGAGCTGATGCCCCATCCAGGGAGCTGCAACAGACAGGGCAGCACTCATCAGGAGAATAACTCTCCGTTAACACGCGCCCGAGTGTCAGCACAGCTTACGATGCATACCCGATGGCCTGCTAAACGCGGCCTCCTGATGCATCAATCCACGATGTGTCCACGTTGCTCACTGCTGCTAGGCCTGCGGCTCCTATCGGCATTGCCCCTCCAGTGAAATAAGAAGCCAACCATGTTCCGCACAGCATGGACAACGAAGTCACGCGCCGTGACGTACAGCTCCAACTTTGCTGCACAATGGCCATAACGATACCCAAGATGGAGCGCAATGAATAGCAGCCAAAAAATAGAACATCCTCACGAGAAAACAGACGAGGCAGATGGTGTACACAACTAGGGCGGGCACGATTCAGGCCCTCCTGACGACCTCGAGGAGCGTGTCGATCCTCGTCTCCTTGAGACGCAGAAGCGATTCGCCGAGGTCCTTGATGATGCGGCCCACGCCCGTGGGGACCCTGACATTCGTCCACGTCGCGTTGATACGTTCCTTGAGTTCATCGAGCGTGCCATCCCCCAGCTTGAAAATGCGGCCGCACTCGGTGACAATGTAGGCACGCTGCGAGGCCGACAACGTAGCACACGTAATGGCGGATGGCGGTGGCTGTGGCGGAACCGCAGGGGGCTCTTGCGCTGGGCCTGGCTGGCTAGCCAACGCTGGAGCTGGGGCTCTCCAGCCTGGACGGCGTTGATGCAGATGGCGGCGGACGATTGCAGAGCGATGGGGTCGACGATGGTCTTCCCTTGCCTCTTCTGAACGATGTTTCTGCTTATTGTTGCGGTTGCCATTGTCACGATTACGATCACGATCTTGTTGTTTGAGCTCCCACGTCGGTGGCCAGGACCCGTAGCCGCGAGATTGCTGGCCGCGGCCACCATGGGCCTTCCCCATCTTGGCAGGGACTGCGGTGAAGTGATACAGCGACCTCCCAGAACTCCGGTCCCGATCGACTGCAGGATAAGGGGGTAAAGCGTGAACCAACGAGCGGACATATGAGATGGGATATTGCAGCTTTAACAATTCCAGGAGGAACTCTATTACCACGACAAACTGCAGACCACGAGCCAACTCCATTGAGAAGCACCTAGGGAGTCTCCCCAACAACTGACCTCGAAGCCTCGCGAACGGCGTGGGGGACTGACCAAGCCATGGGAGCAGGCTGTTCTTCTGTTTCGAACCGCGGCTAAAAATCCAAGCACGGTTCGGGTTCTCCAGCATCGCATTTATTTTCTGGGCGAGCACGTGCAACTCTAGGTCGACCCACTCACATGTACTAGGCTCGTCAGAACCATTGCGATTGCTCTCGAAAACGAAAGACAGGGGCTCATGATGGATCGAGGCGACCAGGAACTTGATACAGCTAGCGTAATCGACGCTCGAATAATCGATGATGCCGCACGCGTACCGAAGCCAGAAAAAAAAAGTGCCGAAGAAACGGCTGCTGAGATAACCAAAGAGGAAGACCTGGGACTACCACGCTCCCTTACAAGAAAAAGGCCTCCTCATCCTCAAGGACGACGGATACCGCGGCAGCGGAAATCACTCCCCCCAATCGATAAGCCAATGAGCTCAATGACGAACACGCCAAACGTCACTAAGTTTACGACCGTGGCAGCTTGCAAGGCTAAAGCTATGATGCCCATCGGTAAGCAGAACCAGCTACGCGACGACGCACCCTCCGACGACAGGCGAAAGCGACACTTCCGACCACGCTGGATGTAGATGTCCTGGGACTGGGCGATGTCTGAATATCTCCTGGCGAAGCGAGCCCATGCAAGCCCAGCGCGCGAAGCCTGGTACTTCTCAAAAAGCTGGGTCAATATCTGCACTCACGATCGTGACCGACTGAGGCATTGCACTCCAGACTCCTGCGCCCATCCTTGAGCAATGGCACACCCTCCTTTCTATCAAAAGCCTCACGCGTGCAAGTCGATACCTCAACGACGGCCCGTTCTTCTCTAGCTACTGTCCTCCACGCTTCTGGGAATGGCACTGCGGACATCTTCAAGAGCGTGCGAAGACAAGAACGACAAATTTTCTGATACGTTTTTCTCGCCCTCGTCCGTGTAGCACTTCGGTTTGCCGAACGCACAAAGGGCGGGCGGTGCAAGTGGCCCTGCATGGCCTCGCGGATTGCCAGGTTGCCAGGCCGGCAAGGCGGCGCGCGCCCAACCGAGCGCGAGAGGCAGAACCCGCGAGGCCGAGAAAGCAGACCCGATCTTCCAAGTCGGGTCCGTGGCGGTAGCATGCAGCGAATGCGCGCGCAACTGCTATAAGTCCACGGGCCAGACCTTCGAAGCATCACGACCATCGGGCAAAGCAGCTGTACTCGCTGAGCCGCGGCTCAACGTTGCGCGAAAGCTCTGCTCTTGGTCTCGCCATGCGGCGGGGCGCTCTGGCATGGAGCATGTCATGAGTTTATCATGCAAGTGTGGCTGTAGCGCACGGCGCGCGCGTGGATGAGACCGATGTTGCTGGACCCACCCAGACCAACTCGCTCGAACGGCAGAACGAATGAACTTCGGCGATGGCAACGCACGTAACTTCCATGGGCCGACATGTGTTTGCAATGACTCGATTTGCGCCCAACGTCTACGAACCTCTGGCGCTACATTGCGCAAACTAGTGAACTGAAACCCACGAATGCGCCGCTTGGAGTCCATCTTATCGAACGGAGTGGGTTTACGACCATAAACCACTGCCAAATGTTGCTGCAATCACCGCCGAGCTGAATACACACGAACGATTGCAATGCATCCCAGACAAACCGCCGCAGAAGACCCGCGCGACCTTCGAATTGACGAGGATGCACGAGACGGCGGACCCGAAGAGGTGGACGCCGTAGTCGACGTAGAACTTTATTCAGTCAGCGGCGAGCGGCCGCTTTGGGCACAGCACCCAACACTGCTGCGTCGATGCCACGGGCAATCCGGCACAAGATGGTGCCAGCATCGTCGTGTGACCACGACGATGAAACATCCGACGATGGCTTCGCACTGGCACAGTACGCACACAGGAGGTTGAGATGATCTGGATGAAATATCCACAGCGGACCAATGAACCCAGCTAGCATGACGTAGGTCGTCTGGAGCTATCGGTACACAAATTTGCGTACGACCCTTTTCGTGGGGTAAGAGTCGAAGGTGAAGGCTGCTTCGGCGACAGGCGTTTCTGCAATTCGGTTGAAAAACTTGTGACGCCCACAAAGAAGGAAGTTTCGGCGCTCGGTGTCGTGGCAGCGGTCGGTTACGATGTTCAGCACGTTCTGGTCGCAAGGTTTGTGCGGCACGCTGTTCAGCTCGAAACTTGAGGTTATCTGCGCGATTGCACCACTTTGATCCTTGGAGATTTCAGTCACCACGAGTCTGGGGGCTGCAGGTTAAAAGTGTCCACGGGAGTCGAACGATTTTCACCCTTTAGGCTTGCAGGAGCGTTTCGCACGATATTTCCAGTGTTTGCCGGGCTCGAGCGGGACTATTTTCCCCACTGCCGCATGACGTCTTCGCCTACCTCTACCTTCTCTTTCGCCAGACTGCAAACTAACATCCCCACCGCTGAAAGCACGGACTCTGACCCTCAGAGCTCTCCACCTGGAATGTCTCTGACATCTCCTCCCTCATCGGACCACGTCCCTGTTCATTCGAGACTTCGGTTATGCACGCCGAACAGTGACGTGCATCTTCCGCCACGGGTTTTCGCGCGGCCGTCGTTCGCCAGTGCATTTGGGCGCAGGAGGACAGGGCTTCAGCGAGGACCGCAGAGGCAGGAGGCGCAGGAGGCAGGTCGCAGAAGGACCGCTGCCCAGGCCAACTCGCACTCAACTGGGTTTCATGTGGGTCGCATCCGACGGATGGCTCGTGCTTGGAAAGCCAGCCGGCGCACGCATTATCTTTTCTCTTCGCGGTGTCATCGGCGTCGAGGGGACTGAGCATCTCGATCCGCATGTCTGCGCTAGGCTACTTGCCGACCACCGGGGCGCTGCTTTTGCCAGAGGACAAGAAAGTCCAGGAGCTGGGGGCGACTTCCCTCGACTCGTCCCCCCTCTCCCCTCGCCCCCTTGGCCCTCGCCAGTTCACCAGTTCCACTCGCCAGGGGGTCCGCTGGGCCCTCGCGCTCGATCGCGTCAATTCCTCGACCTCCTGCGCAGGAAGAAGGATTCCGCTTCCGGGCCCGACGGTTTGGGCTGCGGCGCCCGGGGGGCCGCGGGCCCAGTTGCACCACGGGCGCTCCTCGCAGTGCGCGCAGCTGCTCCGCGCGCCGAGAGGGAGGCCCTGCCGGCGTGCACCTGCGCGCCGCGGCAGTCACTCGCGCCGGCCATCCTCGCTTTGTTGCAGTGAGGCTGGCCTCGAGGTGCAGGCCAGAGCTTTCTGGATTCGGAGGCTGGCGGCCAGGCTGCGGTTCGCCGCGAGTTCAGAGTTGCATCCTGTACTGGAACAGCTATTTCGGACACCCCATAGGGCACGGAGGCACGGACTGGCTGCTCATCTACATGTCTTCGGAGGCCGATCAGAGTTCCCTGTTCATTCCCATTCACCTCATTGTTCAGGGCGCCCAGTGAATCCAAAGGCTTCCAGAAGATTTCTCGAGGAAGAACGTGCAGAACAAACTGGCATCCCTCATCGCCCCAACCTTCAAATGGTAACCGACGTCCAGTATCATTGCCCCGAGGCTTAAAAAATGGCCCCCAAGTCTCGGATGCGGATGTCTTCCTCGTGCTAGTCGCAAGTCTTTTCAATAGTTGAGATACGACCAGGCGTTTCCACCAAGGCGCTCATCCCTGAAAGTTCGGATGCGGCTGCGAAGGTTGCGACGATCTTCTCCAATATGTTGTATGTCCTTCCATCCTACCCGTTCTTGTTAATCTCCTACCTGTTCGTCAAGATGATGGTTCGGCGCTGATCCTCTGAACTCCTTCCTCCCCACCGTTTGCCTCGTGCTCGTGATGCGGCTCTCCCGAGTTGTCTCATAGCTCTTGATTGCATGCGTTCTGCTTTTCAGGCCCTGCGCCGTCAACCCTCCCCTTCGGCTGCTCTTGCTCGGCAAACGGGTGCTGCTCGTCTCAGAGTGATCGTCCGTAAGGCCCCAGATTTGCAAGGCCTGCTGAGGTAGGCGAGCTCAGGGAGACAAGGCCTTCATGCGGTGCGACTCCTCCTCCTCGTCTTCCTCGCCCTTGTCCTTCTTTTCCTCGCCGGGTCTTCCTCATCCTCCCCTGGCCCCGTGCCACCTCCCCCCTGTGAGCCCCGGGAACCCGCCTGAGGACGACGGGGGCGGGCCCGCGCCGGCGCGGGCTCCCTCGAACCGGACGGGGGCGGGCCCGAAGCCTGAGGAGATGGGGGCCGCCGCCTGCTGATGCGAGGGTGGAGGGTTGATTGAGTTCACGAGCGACGAACGTATCCACATCCGTGTTCTGGCGCTCTGTCGGCGGTTCAAAGATGGGGTCCTGATGGACGGGGGCCTGCCCGCCCGACCCGACCCGCACGCCCGGGTCCGACGCCCGACCCCCGACGACGACTACGACTACGACGACGACGACGACGACGACGACGACGACGACGACGACGACGACGGCGGCGGCGGCGGCGGCGGCGACGCCGACGCCGACGGCGACAACGGCGTCGGCGAAACCAGCGCCGGCGAAACCAGCCGCCGGCGAAACCAGCGCCGGCGAAACCAGCGCCGGCGAAGCCAGCCGTCGGCGAAACCAGCGGGGCGAAACCAGCGCCGGCGAGACCAGCGCCGGCGAAACCAGCTCATGTCTGCCTCGCGACTAATGCCTTCTGAATCCTATGGCAACGTGGCCCTCGGAAGGGTCTCGTGTCCTCTCGCGTGTCCTAGGAAGGATCGCGCATCCAGGATCGATGGTCGAAGAAGGTTCGAGGATCAATGAAGGGTTCGGGGATCGAGGATCGAGGCATGATCGGCGAATGGTTTCAGGATCGAGGTGAAGGATTTTTGTCAGCAGCCCTTGTGGGCCTCCGAGAGGTTTTCTCGTGGCCACAGCTGGACCCCCCAGATGTTTATCACGACATGCCTCGGGGCAGGCCTGGGGGCCGTCTGTTGACTCCCCAGCTCAGACGTCCCTCCCCTGAGATCACGGCGTTGTGACAAAGATCACAACGGGCGTTTTCGCCCAGGTGTCGGGCCCCAGGGCATTTGCAGACGGATCTGGTCAAGAGGTGGGGCCGTTTTTTCATGACGCCGCGCTTTTGCTACTTCGTCGGATCTCCAGGTTCTCCTCGTCGTCCTCCTCTTCCTCCTGATGCTTTTCTGGGGCCTCGCACAGAGCCCTCGTCGCCACGGCTGGGCTCGCCTCGAAAATACTCGTCGGAGCGCTCTCCAAGACAGGGCTGGCTGCCGACTTCGCAGGGGCGGGGGGGGGGGTCACACCGACGGCGCCGTTCCAGGGCCTTGGGGCAACGAAAAACAGGCCGCGACGATACCACAGACCCTGACGTGGTGTTTCTTTCACACCCTGGGCCTCTGCGTATCTCGGCCCCTTTTCTAGGACTTGTTTCTTCATCCCGACTGGTCTCGAGGCCTTGTCAGGCCTGCCAGAGGTCTAACATTGCCCAGCTCATTCCGTAGCTTTTTTTCCCATATCTCATGCTTAGGTTCTTATTCCCCAGAGGGGGAGGAGGAGGAGGGAGGAGGAGGAAGAGGAGGAGGAGGAGGAAGAGGAGGAGGAGGAGGAAGATGAGGAGGAGGAGTATTGTAAGATGGGGTTCGTGCGACTCCTTCGCGTCCTCATAGTCCCGCCTTCCCCTTTCCGCGCTCAGCGTCGCTCATGCTCAGTCTCAATGTCGCTCAGACCCACTCGCACTCGGGATCACTCATACTCAGACTCGGGCACACTACACTGACCGACTCACTCATGTTCACTCTCGGTCACACTCATACCCACTCGTACTCATACTCACTCATATCCAGACTCACCCATATGTAGATTCATCATCCTCAGGCCACTCACGCACTCAGATCCAGTGTTACACAGACCCACTCATACCCAGACCCACTCATTCTCAGACCGCTCACATTCAGATCCACTCGTGCTCAGCTCAATCCTGCTCAGCAGGCTCACGCTCATACTCGCTGATCGTACTCAGTCTCGCTTATGATAACCGCGGTCTAGCAGGCATCGCACGTGGGCACCCCAACAGGGAACCGACAAGACTGTTGCACTCGCCTGTTCGCGCTCAGTTTGTGGGGATGTCTTTGAGCGAGGCGCTGGTTTCTGCATCCCCGACTTAGCGCGATGTCATGCGAGGGTGTGGTTGTCGATATGTGGCCGAGACGTGGCGAGTGAGCTGGAGAGCCAGACCAGCAGGTGCAGCCATGCGTTCTGAGCGCCTAGCTTCTGTTCTGCCACAGAAGCGCGCTCCATACGGCATCTGTCTCTCAGTAGTTTCGTTACCCTACTTCTGCATCTTGCGCTTTGGAGCGGCCGCCGTGCTAGTACATCACACGTTCGTCTCGACATCGACAAAAACCACATCCCCGACTCTTCCCCTTACAGAGCGTCACGACCATCGCGATGTGCAGTACTTGGGCACCCCGAGGGGCAACCGCCAGTGGGTACCGCACTGGCCCGTTTACGCCAAAGAACGTTGGAAGACTTCGAGCGTGGCGCTGTTTTGTGCGCTCCCGCCTCCTTTCAGCCCTAGCCCAAATAGCAGTTGATCACCTTAGGTGAGAGCCTCCATGGAGGATTTTGCGCTCGCCCGTTAGCGCCCAGATGGGGGACTCCTCGAGCGAGGCGCTGTGTTTGCACATCTGGCTCCTTGCTCAGGGCTCCATGGTTATCGCGATGCACCAGGTATAGTACCTGGGCCCCCCGATTGGGGGTAGCCGCCAGGGGGTGTGGCACACGTCCGCTTGCGTCCAGGTTGCCGGGGTGACGCGACCGATGCGTTTGTTTTGTACCCCCGATTCCTCTCCTCCTCAGGTCCCAATGACTATCGCGATATAGCAGGTATTGCATTTGGGCACCCCGTGGGGAAACCGCCAGAGAGCTTTCAGTCGCAAGATGCTAGGACTATCTGGCTGAGACGCTCACAGCGGGATGCGCCAGGAAGTAGGGTGCACGTATGGGCACCTTCGCATCGAATAACCATTCCTGCGGGGGTCCGCCTCCTCACACTCCCGCCGCCTCCCATCTACAGTCAGACTCACTCATACTCAGCTCACTGACTCACAGACCTGCTCGCTCTCAGACTCGCATGATCAGACTCGGACTCACTGACACACACACACAACACACAACACACACACAACACACACAACACACACACACAACACACGCAACACACACAACACACACAACACACAAACACACAAACACACAAACACACACAACACACACACACACACACACACAACACACACACACACACACACACAACACACAAACACACACAACACACACAACACACACACAAAACACACACAACACACAAACACACAAACACACAAACACACAAACACACAAACACACAAACACACAAACACACAAACACACAAACACACAAACACACAAACACACAAACACACAAACACACAAACACACAAACACACAAACACACAAACACACAAACACACAAACACACAAACACACAAACACACAAACACACAAACACACAAACACACAAACACACAAACACACAAACACACAAACACAAACACACAAACACACAAACACACAAACACACAACACAAACACACAAACACACAAACACACAAACACACAAACACACAAACACACAAACACACAAACACACAAACACACAAACACACAAACACACACACACACAAACACACAAACACACAAACACACACACAAACACACAAGCACACAAACACACAAACACACACACAAACACACAAACACACAAACACACAAACACACAAACACACAAACACACACACACACACACGTCCGAGCGATGCCAGGCTAAAGAGGGTTGGAACATCATAGCGCCAGTGCCGCTGGGGGGCCGCAGCTTGGCAGACCTCTGGCGCGCGGGCCCTCCCGCAGGCGTGGGGGCCGGGCAGACCACGAAGGTCTTGGCCTGTGGCGAGGGGTCGTCTGCGGCACTGCGGCAACTCGCGGGAGCCTACCATACCTCACTACCTACCAGACCACCCCAATCCAACCCGAAGACCCGAGTTTCGGGTTGGGGGGGTATGGGTTCCATACGTGTTTTTTAGATGTTCCCCGACCCCCCCCACTGGAAATGGCGGGCAAACTGAGGCCTTCGGGTTGGGTTGGGGTGGTTTGGTGGGTGGTGGATACCATCTTGTTGGCTCTTGCGAATCGACGCTACGTCGACGCTACGTCGACGCTACGTCGACGCTAGCCGACGCTAGCCGACGCTAGTCGACGCCAGCCGACGCTACATTGACGCGAATCGACGCTAGCCGACGCGAAGTCGACGCCAACCGACGCGACGTCGGCTCCAAATCGACGCTGTCACACCGATTACCAGGCGCCAGAGCACGCGAGAATCCACTCCAAAGACGCGGAGCTGCGAGGCCATGCGAGGCTCCCAGGATGGCCACCGAAGGAGTCGTGCTGTGGGCGCGCGCTGGGCCGCGCAGCGCACTGGAGCCCCCCCCCCCACGAGCCTTGGACACGCCCCCACGAGCCCCCCCCCCACGAGAGCTTTGACGTGCCCCCCCACGAGCCCCCTCCCACGAGCCCCCCCCCCCCCCCCCTACGAGCCCCCTCCCCCACGAGCCCCCCCCCCACGAGCCTTGGACACGCCCCCCACGCCCCCACGTGGCGCACTTTAGCCCCCCACCTCCCCACGAGCCTTGGACACGCCCCCCACGCCCCCACGTGACGCACTTTAGCCCCCCCCCCCCTCCCCACGAGCCTTGGACACGCCCCGCAGCAGCGTCTTGGTATTCGTCGTCGGCTGGGGGCTCACAGTGTGCGAGAGCTTCCGGGTGGTCATGTCGTCTGCGGTCAGCAGCTCGTCGTCTACTTGGAAGAACACCTCGGCGGGCCAGATGGATGAACTCTCCCTCAGCTGCGGACAAGTGTGCAGATTCGACAATAACTGTTCAGCAACCAGAGTCCTGAGACGTACTGATCTGAATAAGATGTGCCCCTTTTGCAGAAATCTACTGGAACAGTTTTCCAACATTTTTGAGGTCTTCTCGAATACTAGATCGAATCAACATGGCGGGGGCATAAATATGTATCTTCATGTGCAGGAATGCAAGAAGCAAACTACTTGGTCTGGAACGCCAGCACGTTGCTGACGCGAAGAAGTATAGGCAAACATCGGGGGCGATATAGAGGCAGCGCAAGAGACACTCGGAGACAAAGGCGCAGGCGGGCAGACAAAACATTTTTATGTTCGCCATCGTGCCTCTAGGCGCGTATATCTTTGTGTGTCTATCTGTGGGCGTGTCCTCTGGTCCTTTGCCAAAATACCTACGCTTCAGCCCTCGATCCTAAAGGTTCGTATAGGGCCCAGGCCCCGAATTGCCTAATCTCCCAGGGCTTCCCGCATGCCCCTGGGCTCCCCCACATCTTCTCTCGTGACTTTTTGGGGCCCAGGAGGATCCCAAGACGGGCTAAGAGAGCCTCAAGAGGCCCCAAAGAGGGCGCCGGGACACCTAAAGATCACCCCAAGACGCCCAAGATGGCCACACGACGACCCAAGAATCCCACAAGAGCCTTCCCAAGAGGGCTCCAAGATGGAACCATCATTGATTTTCCCTGGGTTGTTGACGGGTTTCGGGTCGCGGGTGGGTCGCGGGTTTCGAGGTTGGGTCGCGGGTGGGTCGCGGGCGGGTCGCTTGTGGGTCTCGGGTGTTTCGCGGGTGTGTCGCAGGGCGGGTCGCTTGTGGGTCACGGGAGGGTATGTCGCGAGTGGGTCGCGGGTGTGTCGCGGGCCGGGTCGCGGTTGCGTCGCGGGTGGGTCGCGGGCGGGTCGCGTGGTGGGTCGCGGGTGGGTCGCGGGCGGGTCGCGTGATGGGTCGCGGGTGGGTCGCGGGTGGGTCGCGGGATGGGTCACGGGGTGGATCACGGGGTGGGTCACGGGGAGGGTCTCGGGTGGGTCGCGGGTGGGTCGAAGGTGGGTCGCGGGAGGGTCGCTGGTGGGTCGCGGGATGGGTCACCCGGTTGATCTCGGGTGGGTCGCGGGTGGGTCGGAGGTGGGTCGCGGGTGGGTCGCGGGTGGGTCGCGGGTGGGTCGCGGGCAGGGTCGCGGGTGGGACGACGATAAACAGCGCAACAACAACAGCAACAACAACAGCAGCAGCAACAGCAATAACGATATAACAGCAGCAGCAACAACAACAGCAATAACAACAACGACAACAACAACACTCCCAACAATAACAACAACACCAATCCGCACCACGGAACCTTATTTCAGAGACGCGCCCAAGGACAGTGCATGACCGTTCGGCTCTCACTCTCATGCGCACATATAAGGTATTGTGTATTTGCGTGTGAATATACATATGTTTACACAAGCATATATTCATACATATATATATATATACAGAATTCGATCGACATGTTTACACACATATATGTATGTATGCATCTATGTGTATATACAGGTCGATAGATTCATAGACCGATAGAGGCGGTTTGATGGATGGAGACGGTTGTCCCGATGGTTGTCCCGTCGTTGGTTCCGCCCCCCAACTCCATATCGGCCTTCTGCCGGTCCTATAAGCACGCATTTGTGCACACATGCATGCAGCGGAAATTGAGGCGTGAGACCGAAGTGAAACGGAGTTCCCCAACCGGGAAATCGGTGTGTTCCAGTTTTGGTCTGCGTCGTGCCTGATGAGCGTGGGGGCGAGGCCATGCGAAGCTGCGCGAACTCCTGCCTTAATTAGGCCCAGATGAAGACATTTTGTTTCCACCGCACCCGGCAGCCGGGGCGTGCCTACCGGGTGTCCCGCGGTTGTCTCCTGTGGCTATTCCGCGGTTGTTCCCTGGCTGTCCCGTGGTCGTCCTGTGGTTGTCCCACGGTTGTCCCGTGGGTGTCCTGTGGTTGTCCTGTGGTTGTCCCGCGGTTGGTGGCTGTCCCGTGGCTGTCCCGTGGTTGTCCCGTGGTTGTCCTGCGCCTCCGCCCCAGCCTCTAGCAGGGCTTCAGAACTGGCCAGCCTGGATCATGCTGGACCTCACTCCGTCGGAATGGAGCCAGGGCGCAGATGGAAGCTGGACTTGGCGCTGGACCACGTCGCCTTTGAAAAGGCACCAAACCAATGGTCGCGAACCCGATCCGACGCCAATCGCGAACCGAAGCCTGCCCCCCCCCCCCAAACCCGAACTGATCATCAGACCTCCAAAACGGCCCCACCGACGACGAAGACGGCCCTACCGCGTCCAAAGAGGAATCCGCGACTGTCCCGAGAGGCCTACAAGATGCCCAACAGCACAACCCTTCCCCCCTGCCGAGCCCCACCAAGCCCCCTACCCTATGTTAGTCAACCAGCACGCGAACGACTTGAAATGGATTCGAATTAGCGACGCAACCCTCGCTCAAACATAGAAGGAGAAAAGGCGCATACGTACATATTCGGCAAAACGATCAACATGCATACTGCATGCAGATTGATGGCGCGGGTGTAGACCCACGGGGATGGATTCTAGAATACGCGGCGGATGGAGGCAGAGGATGTCAGACGGAGGATAAGGGACGGCCAAGAAGGATGGAGGGAGGAGTAGAGGGCATCAAGACAGGGTGGAGAAGGGGGGGTATGAATCAGGGAGCTGACGGGTGAGCAAAACAGGGTGGAATGGGTTGACGATGAGGAATATTTGGGTTCGTCCGGGGGGCAGCTCTGGAAGAGGCACCGGAATAGCAGTCAGAAGGGTTGTGCACGGCGGATCGCCAACTCGCTCTTGACGGGCGCGCCTTTGGCAACCAACGGTGGCCTAGCGAGACCACGCCGCCGAAATACATCAGGCGCCCGACTCCCGCGGCCCAGTCCGCAGTTGTCCGTTCGATGCGCTGACAAGGCGGAAGGGGGGACCATGCGAAGCGAGTGCAGGAGCATATAGGTTAGACCGAGAGGAATGCACACACAAAAGATGTAATAATAGATTCGGCCGTCTGCGAGTCGGTGGACCCTTCCAGGAGGGGATAGCGCATTAGGAAGAGGCTCATACGAGATCATACGCGGAAGGAGTATGGGGGAGGAGGAGAACCATAAGGAGAAGGAGGAGGATAACGACGAGGGCCATGAGGAGAAGGAGGAGGAGGAAGAGGACGACGAGGCTCCTCGTTTCTGGTCGAAACTCTCCCGCTCGAGCGTGTCGAAACCGTCGGCGGGAATCTCGAAAGAGAACTCGATCGAATAGCTCCAAGCCGCTATCGCCCCCCCGACCCGTCGCTTCTGCAGTGGGAGGAGGGAGGCGCTTTTCTCTCGAGCCCAAGCGCCGGCGCTACGTACACACATGTACACAAGCGTGCTAGTTTACATTCCCTGGGTTTTTCCCCCAGAAATCACATTCATACTATTTTCTCTAGCTAAGCTTGCTTCTCGTTCGAGCGCCGGGCAAACTCGCAAAACTCAGTACTCCCCGAAGTCAAGGTCATCGGCGAAGCCGTAGAATATGAAATAGTCCACAGCGTCGTTCACGAAATCGAACACCATGAAATATGTATGTAACCGAGCACGAAGACTACCTCTTGGAAGAACTTGAGCCCGTATCTCCCCGCATGTACGCCTGTCTCTCCCTCTGTGCCTTCACCGCCTTGGCCTGCGCCCGAAGCGCTTTCTCCTCGCTCCACCAAGTAGGGTCCCGCACTCGGTGCACCGAACCTTCTCCTTGTACTGGTTGGTCCCCGCTCTCGTTCGCTTGTCCGTTGGGTGCTCGCACAGGTCGGGATCGATGTACTTGCTCTGGTCCTTCGTCCTGTACTTCGTGTTCGTGGGGCTTGACTTCTGGGTGTACTTGCTGTTGCCAGCTTCGCTGTTGCCAGCTGCCTGGGTTGCCTTCCGACACTCCGCGCATCCGTCGATCACCCTGCGGTGCGCCTCCAGAACTCCGTCCTCCAGCACGTCTCCGAAGTCGCTCTCGATCTTCTCGTAGGGGGCGTGTCCGGTCCTCTCGTGTAGCCGGTATGCCTTCTGCATGAACTTCTTGGATGGCGTAGCCGGTGGTGTCGTCGATTTGGCGCGCACGCTCGGGACGTCTTGCCAGCTGCCCTCGTCCGTGTCGCTAGGGACCTTCTTGTCTTCGGCCTTGTCCTTGGACTTGTGTGGCTTCTTCCGGGTCCTCGGTCCGCACTCGCACTGGTCCACCGCCATGCGACACACAGTGCACACTACCATGGTAGCACACGCAGCAGCTGCACCTCCCTGTGGGCTTGCCCTGATCTCCTCAGTGTCAGCCCCCGTCGCGTCCATCATGTAGATCTCCTTCGCGTCGTCGGTGCAATCCAGCTCGGCATTCACGTCTGACTCCACAAGCATCTCCGTCTCCGATGTAACATTCAGCTCCTCCTTGTCCTCTGGATCCTCAGTCACATCTGGCTTCTTGATGGTGTGCTTCTCTGCGAAGTCCTTCTCGTAGCGCTCGAGGGCCGCCTTGGTCGGTGCGTAGACCGTCAGCAGCTTACGCACGTGCGTCGGGATCGTCCGACGCCTCACCACCTGGTCCAGGCCGGACCAGTCGACCATCTCCTCGAGCTTCTCGTAGTAGATATCGTCCTCGCGCTGGCCCAGCATCATCCGCCAACGTAGATATGGCTTCGGAGCAGGTTGGACAACCTTCGCGTTGTACCTCACGTCCGCGATGCAGTCCTCGAAGTACGTGTAGCCCTCGTGCGCAAAAGGCTGATCGGCAGGTCGCTGTCGCTCGGGGTACTTCGTGCGGTAGTACTCACCCCTGCGTCCCTTGAGCTCCGTCCGTTGCTTATGGATAACCTGGTCCGCCATGAGGTCCTCGGTCAGCCGGTACTCGCCCGTCTGCAGGACGTACCTCATGTAGTCGCCAGCGCGCACGTCGTGCTTGGTGAGGCAGTCGGCGAGCATCTGCTTGGTATTCACCCACTTGCTCACCACGTTGTTGAACTCGATATCGTTCCTGAGCGCCTCGATGTCGATGAGCAGCCGCTTCTCGGAGGGAACCGTCCCGCGCTTCTGCAGCAGGTCGTAGAGAGACTTGCAATCTGTGACCTCCACCATCGTGATCGCCTTGACGTCCTCCATGTGGGTCCGGTAGCCCAGCCCGTAGTGTAATTCCACCAGGTGCTGCCTCAGCATGTCGCCACTCTCGACCGCCTCCAAAGCTGCCATCGTCTCGGCCGAAAGGGTACTGCGCACCACACGTTTAATGCGGTGTGAGCGCCACAGCATGGGGGTGATCTTGGTAGGCCTCCCGAGCAGGAACTTGTTGTCCTTGTTGTCTGCTAGCAGGATGACCAGTCCGGCCTGGCTCGCCGTCTTCGTCTTGCCCACGTTGCCGTGACTTGAGTCCCCGATGGCCACCACGATCGCATCGTCCATGTTGATCTTCTGGAAAGTGATGTCCACGTGGTCTGTCTTGGCGTCGCTCACCAGCTTGTTGAAGTCGAGCAGGTCCTGCACCTTCAGGTCGCTGTCGTGAGCCCTCGCCTGGCTCTCCACCAGACGGAACGCCAAGTCCATACGCGTAGAGCGCACCAGCCACTGGATCTGGCCGTTGCCGCTGTGGAGCAACGCCCTCTCCTCAGCCGTGGCCTTCGCTTCCTTGTTCCTCCGGCGCTCGGCCGAAATAGGAATCCTCCCGATGCTCTCCGTGTACTCCCTCTGGCTGCACTTGATGGTGCCGTCGTCGTTCTGCTTGAGGAAGCGCCCGCAGTGATGAAACCCTGTCCGCGCAGACTGCCACTTGCCGTAGCAGTGTATCTTCCTCAGCATCGCCACCTGATTCGCGAAGAACTCGGGCGAACCCGCGACCAAGTCGTCGTCCACGTGCGTCCCGATGAGGCCGATCAGCTTCCCGTTCTCGTCGTGGAAGATGAAGAGAGCCGGGCGCAGCTTGGATCTCGAAGCCCCGGGCAGTGACATGATAGTGTCGCGGTGCTCCTCGTGCCACAGTAAGGGTGCGTCGTTCAGCCCGTAGATGCCCTTCTTCGCTTTCAGGATGGTCCCCTCGGGCACGAATGGCCAGCCCAGCTCCGGGACTGCCGGTAGACCGCCCTTGGGAGCTCGAAAATACACACGTCGTGAGCTGTCGGGGTACTTCCCATTCAGGAACGCCGAGTCGACGTCGCCCTGCTCCAGCGTCCAGCCCTCCTGGCTAGCCGCCTCCTGGAGAATCACCGCCGTGGCCGTGTCCGTGAGCGTGGGCGCGTTCGTCTGCAACTCGCCGGCGAGCAGCTGCTTGTCCTTGTACCCCGGGACGATGTTCCTCGACTTCGCCTTCAGCGGGTGCTGCTCGTACGAGAGGTTGCCCCTCGTCGGCTCGTTCTTGTCCGTCCGGACGCGCCGCATCGGCAGGACGTCCGCCTTCTCGACCCCCGCGAGCTCCTCCTCCGTCGGCCACTCCACGGCGTCGTACTGGATCCACTTGCGCCACTCGTCCAGGTCGCTCGCGTCGAATTCTTCCTTCCATTCCGGCGGGATGCTGCGCATATAGTTCTCGACCTTTCTTAGGTGCGATTTGTTTCTTGGCCGTGTCGGTCCTCCTCGCCAGGAATGCATCCCTCGTGCGGTTCTTCACCACGCGGCTCACCTTGACGTAGAGTGCGCTGTCGTCCCCCATTGGAATGTCGCTGGTATCGTCAGGAATCCGTGGCAAACGCATAGCAGCCTCCTTGAGAGCTTCGCGTCGTAGTCGAAGACGTTCCTTGTCTTGCAGCCGGTCATCAGGAAGTGGCCTCTTGAACCCCTTTGGTGGTGCGGGTTCTGGCTGTCCTGGCTGTTCGGCTCGCTCAGGTTCATGATGCGGATTACCTGGCACAGCAGCTGCGTCCAGGTCCATGGAGTGCCCCTGCCCAGCTGCATCAGGTACAGGTGGGTCGTAAGCTGGTCCGGGTACTTGAAGTCCTGGCCCGTCGCCGGGTAGTGGTGGTACTTCTGGTAGCCCTCCAGGTGTAGCTCCAGGTGCTTCCTCTATCACGCGTTCCCTTTTTGGAGTCGCCTCCACTGGTGGCGGTCTCGGAGGTGGTGAGGCCGGCTCGGTGCGAGGTGCCTTCGCCATCGGCGGGTCGTCTTCAGCGTCCTCGTCGTCCGAGTCGTCGTTGCTCCTCTCGCGTCGTGTGCCTGTCTGTTGGCTTCCTTCAGGCCCAGGACCACGTTCGTCGATAAACCCCTTCTGAAGAGTAGGTCCTCCACGCCACTGCGAAAGCTGCCTGACCAGGTCCTCGTTCTCCACCATCTCCGCCTCGTCGCGTGATGCATGCCGCACCTGCTCGGGCGTCACGAGCACCGGCACCCCTCGGTGCAGTCTCGTGTGGCCCTCCGTCGCTAGCACGATGGCCGGGCCGCGCCATCCCAGCTCGCCCTGGAGCCTCTTAGACTTCACGTGCTTCACCTCGCGCCAGTAGAACACCAGCTGGCCCGGCACGAATGGTCCTCGTGGCGGTCGAACTCGGCCGATAGTGGCCCTCCTCACGGCGTCGTCGCTGTCCAGCTCGAAGAGCCCAGTTCGCCGCTGCACGAATCTGTTCGGCCCGCCGGGGCCCGTCCTCGAAGAGGGCCGCGCTCTGCGCCGCCAGCTGCCTCTGGTCGCCCTCCATCGCCTCGATCAGCGAAGTCGGAGTGCCGGGCGACTTCCCCAGCGCGTACTGGTAGGGCGTGAAGCCGTTGCGCCGAATATGGTTGTTGCACGTGTTCGCTATCACTGAAGTCCATACCGTTGGTTCGTCGTTCTTCGTGAGCTGCACGTCGCGGTTCAGGCGCTGGAAATGATCCTTGAAGAAGTCGATGGCACGCTCGACTCTTCCCTTTAGCTGAGGCGCCTCAGCCGGGACCGGTCTCATCAGGATGTTGTACTTGTCGCCGATCTCCGCGAACCGCTTCGTGATGTGGCCCTTCGCCGCGTCGTAGTAGAGCACCTTCGGAGGGCCTGCCCACGACAACCAACCTTGCGAGAAGCACCGTAGGCTCTCCTCGCCCGTAATCGATCGCACAGCTGTGGTCGGGACGATCACCCTGAAGCTCGACGCGTCGTCCAGGATAACCATGACCATCAGCCGCGTCCCGTCCGAGAGGATCACCTCGGCCTCGTCCAGGAACACGTTCTCGTTGAACTCCGTCGAGAGCTTCAAATTGGCTGACCTCGTGGTGTTCGGCCTGCCCAGCTCCTTGCACACGGTGCAGTCCAACTTGTCCACCGCTTCGAGCACCTCCTTCGACGCCCCGTAGGACTTCAGGCGTCGCTTGAGAGCGTGTGCAGACGGGTGGCTCAGGTTCAAGTGGAGCTTCCGAAGAGCGCCCCACTGGGCCGTAGTGATGTTCGGGGGCTTATCCCCGAAGCCTTTCCCCTCTTCGTGTAGGTCTCGATGTACTGCGTCTGCGTCTCGATCGTTTGGCTTGAACTCCCTCGGCGTGGCTCCATAGGCAAACACCGTCGCAGGGTAGGACGTCTGCACTTTCGGCTCCTTCGCGTAGATCGCCACGACCGTGTCCGAGGGATACCTCTCCGCCAAGTCGATCGTCTGGAAGTCCGAGTCGTCCGCGTAGGCATCTGAGAAATCGGCCAGCACGCCCTCGCTGGAGTACATTGCGTAAATGCGCCGCACAGCTCCTCGAGGTAGTGGTATCTCCTCGGTGCCCCTCAGCACGCGCACGTCGATCAACTCCTTTCTCAGCTTGAATGCCTTCGCAACTCCATTCGCAGTTCGTCGGCTCGGAATCTTCTCCCCGTTGTTCCAGATCCGCAGCTCCTTCAAGGTCGCGCGCATCGCCAGCTCGTGCGTCCCGGCTTTGACCAAGGTCTTGCCGAGCTCCTCCGGCCACGCAGCCGATCGCGAGAGCATCGCGCTCCGGCCGACCGTCTCCGCGTGTTCGTGGCTTCCGTCACATCTGCGTTCCAGCCAGGAAGGAAAGCACGACCCATATGGTACCAGCATGCGCGTCGCCTTCCGAATCGGTGTCCCGCTCTCGTCCACGAGCCCGTACATGCACTGGTGCAGCGTGACCGTGTCGTAGGATGGTGGCCGATCGTCTTTCCAACTCGTCAGGTCCATCATCGATTCTTGGTTCCACGCTCGGCTCGTCAACGGGTTCTCGCCAATACCGATTCGTCCGCCTTCAGCCTGCAGTCGAAGTACGTCCGCCGAGAAATTGACCAATGGCGTAAACTCCTCGACCATATCATCGACCCAGTCGCCCATACCCTGTGCCCGCTGAAACTCCTGCATATTCGTGAAGGGTGTACAGGGAAACGCGACCGAAACCATCCAAGGCTTGAAGATCTTGATCATGAACAGGAAATCGGAACAAACCTTGGGGTCATTGAAATTCACACCAACCGACAGATCTGAAGGGGTCGCATTCGCGTGACCACCTCTCGAGGCCGCTCTAGTAAAGCGAGCCTCCTTCGCGAACAGCTCCCAGAGGAAGGTCTCCGAGTTGTCACGCAGCACGTCGAATATCACCTCGTACTCCTTCATGAGCTTGTCGATCCGCTTGACCGTGCTCTTCTTGAAGATGCCCTTGTTGCCGTTCTTCAAGGCCTCCGCGACCCACGAGTCGGCGTCGTCCTTCAGCTGGAAGTCCGGCTTGACTTCCTGCAGCGTCTCCGCGACCAGGAACACCTCCGGCTCGGGGGCGACCCGGTGGATGCGGAACTTCTCGAAGAGCGGTTCCGCCTCGTACGACTCGAGGTCGTAGTCGAAGATGTCGAGACCCGCGTGGCCGCCGGGAAGCTTCACCAGCTCCTTGTCGTAGACTCCCAGCTCCTGGAAGTCCGCCCAGTGGCCGTCTTCGCGCACGTAGAGGTTCGTCTTCCAGTCGGCCAGGTTCTTCCTGCTCGTGAGACCGACCATGTCACCAGGAATCTCGAAGTACTCCTGTATGGCGTGGACCCTCCCGATGCCGATGGGGATGATCCACTTCTGCTTGGCCTCGCGCTTGGCACCGCCGAGCCCCTTGAACCTCTGCGCGGCGTCCACCTTGATGGGCTTCAGGCCGTACTTCGCGAGCTCGGTCGCGACGCGGTCGAGCCAGCCGCGCCCGGCGACCGCCACCGACGCGCCGCTGTCCACCAAGGCCGCCGGCACGGCCTCCTTCGAGACCAGCACCTCCAACTCGAGCCTCTCCGGCACGATCGGATCGCTATCCACGCTCACCGTCATGATGTCGTAGACGTCCTCGGCGGTCTGCACCGCGGCGCTGTCGGCCAGCTCGCCCACGGCGGTCATCTGGCTCGCGAAGTTCACGCACGCCGGAACGGCACAGACCAAGGTCGTCATCGCCCAGAAGCCGTAGCGTCGTGGACGTTGGGCTCCTTTCGGTCCCTTGCCGCGGCCCTTGGGCTTGCCCGTCTTGCCGGAAGAGCCGCCGGTCGGACAGTTCGCCGTGTCGTGGTCCATCCGGCCGCAGTTGGTGCACCTCTTGTCCTTCGACTTGCCCTTGTCCTTGCCTTTGCCAAAGTTGCCTTTGGAGAAACTCCTTCCGGCCGCCTTGCCACCGGCAGCCGCGCTCTCGTCCACGACTCCGTCGATTCTCCCCTTGAAGAACCCGCGAGCAGCCCGAAGCTTGTTCATCTTCAGGCGGCTCTCGCGTAGGGTGACGAGGGCCTTGCGGTAGTCGTCGTCCTCGTCGGCCAGGAACGTGTCCGCGTCATCCTCGATGAAGAACATGTCGCTGCTGTCCCAGCCGTTGTCGTCGCCGTCGTCCGTGCACACGTAGACTCCACGCTCGTCGTCCCATTCATGCCAGTATCCGTCATCATCTTGTACCCAGTATTCTCCTGGATCCTCTTCGTCGGGTGGCTCTTCTTCGGTGTTCATCGCCCATCTCCAGCCCGACTTGAGTTGTCCCCGATGCTTCGCGCTGCCGCGTGGGAAAAGGTTCTTCAGCGTTTGGCTGATCTTCTGGAAGTTGAACGTCTCCTCCGCCCGTGCAATCACCAGATTGCGCTCGTCCTTGTCGAGGCCGCTTCGCTTCAGAGTGTGGTACCCTAGCTCGTTGCTGCTTATCTTCGTGTCCGGGTCCACCTCCTCCAGGTTCCGCTTGGCAACCTCCATGGCTGTGCAGCAAGCCGCCATGGGTTCTTCGCCTTTCCGCTCGAAGTGCGTCTGATCGAAGAAGGCGTCGAACGCCTTCGGCAGCTCCCGAAAGCTGCTCTTGGCGAAGCGCTGCGCCTCCAAGTACGCCAGCAGCGCCCGGGCCCCCTCCTTCTTCGCGTAGTCCTTGGGGTCCGTCTGCTCAATGAGCACGCTGATGCTGTTGTCCGCGCCGAGCAGGTTGCGATGCAGCTTGGGGCCGAGCGCCTGTAGCTGATCCTCAGTCTCGCAACTCAGCTCCGCCGCCTGCACGGCGCGCTTGTACCTCGTGAAATCCTTGAGGGTCTCGCCCTTCAGCACCGGGATTTTGGGATCCACTGCGCTGTTATACTCCGTCATCTCTTCAACTGGATGGCTAGTCCGTGTCCGTGTAGATTATCGTGATAATCGTGGTAATGAAGATCGTGGGGCCAACCACGAGCTCCGCTGCCAACCTCGTTTCTGGTCGAAACTCTCCCGCTCGAGCGTGTCGAAACCGTCGGCGGGAATCTCGAAAGCGAACTCGATCGAATAGCTCCAAGCCGCTATCGCCCCCCCGACCCGTTGCTTCTGCAGTGGGAGGAGGGAGGCGCTTTTCTCTCGAGCCCAAGCGCCGGCGCTACGTACACACATGTACACAAGCGTGCTAGTTTACATTCCCTGGGTTTTTTCCCCCAGAAATCACAAGGCTTATAAGGAGAAGGAGGAGCACTCCACATCAACACATACACTGATCGCTACATTTGGAACGATGGCTAAGACGCGTGTCGAAACATTGCTTTCACATGCTGAAGCCCCTCCTGCAAACCTAAGCGAATCAATCCATGGGTCAATACTCGCAGCGATGCCAAGTCAATGGATGCGCCGACGATGCCGAGAGGACATGGGCTGTGAGAGGGTACAACACACAGTGCTGTGAAGTTCGCGGGCCGACGCTGGCCAATTCTGCGTTTGTTGTTGCAGCCGAGGGCTTGTCAGAGCAGGCGTCGCTTCCACCTGGGTCCACGGACTGGCTCAACTCCGAGCTTTTCAACTCGATCTGACAAGTGATGCATTGCGTATCCCAAGCTGCAGACAGCAACATCACAATGCAACGAACGCTACCCAACCAGCGATTGCACAAACACGCTTTTTGTCGAAACAAGGCTGTGTGTCAATGTGCTGCGTGTGTTTCTGCATCTGCTAAGTTTGGGGTTCGTGGGATCTGAGCGCGATGCGCGTTGCAACCGCTCCCCTAACACTTAAAACTCAACTGCGCCTGGCGCGCTTGAAACCCAGGAATGGCTGGACACTGGGGGCCTTAATCTTCCCACAGACGCTGCCGCTCGACTCGCTGCCCCGCTGAGTCTTCATCGGGGCTGGCGCGGCGAGACTATCGGGCGGTGACCCCATCCGACTGCGCGGGGGTCTTCGAGGCGAAGCTCGCTCGCGCAGAGGGGGGGGGCTCCAGGCGCTTTGAAAGGCGACGAACTTGGACCCGCAGCACGGGCCTGCAAATCGTGAAACTGCTGCCCAGACGCGCGCGGCAGCGTGGGGTGGGAAGCCTGCCGCTCGGCCGGGAAAGCCTTGGCCTTGTCTGGCCCCCCGGGGCGGTGGCGATGCAAACGGCAGCTCGACGCCTTGAATGATCGAGCTCGCCCCCGCGGCCTTCCCCAGTGTCGTCTGGGCCACGGTGACGGCCTCACTGGTAATCTCGTCAGCTTGGGCGCGGGGGCCGATGACAATCAGGCCAGCTGCGTCGGCGAAGTCCTTCAAGGTCTCGCGTAAGGAAGTGGCTGCAACTTATGTTTGAGCATCTGCGAGGCCGTGGTCACGTTGAAGTTGTCGTCGGAGATGCATGCTCACCAAGTAGGCGTGGCTTCGGCCGTGGCTTCGGTAGTCTTGGTCAGGATTGCGGCCATCGCAGTGAGGATGATATCCTCGCACTTCTTGCCGGGAGCACCTGCAAGCGTGCGCCTCGAAATCGTGCTGGGTCTTATCCTGCTCGCATTTGGCGAGGGGTGCCCCTTTCAACTGGCTCGCAACGTTCATCCACTTGTTCTCCTCCAGCATGAGTGGGCTAGGGCCTGGTCGGAAAGACATGTTCGGGTCCTCGTGGGGGGGAATGTCCACGCGCTCCTTCGCAACTCGAACCGGCTGGAGGAAGGGGCTCTGCATCTCCTGTCCTCCGGCAGAAACGGCGGCGACCCCGCCCTCCCAACTGCTCGCTGGTGCATGCGAAGCAATCGGAGCTGACGCCGAAGTCGCAGACGGCGCTCGCGATTGCGCCGAGACTGCGCTGATGGGGCAGTCGCCCAGGATGGCAAGTCGCTGGTCTTCAGCAGCAGGAGGCAAACATATCTTCATGCTTGGTGAGTGAATGGTCTCCTCCATGACTGAGCTGATAGGTTTGCTGCTTGCTTTCGTCGGGTGCCGACCTCCATTTGCAACGTGAGCTGCTGCAGACTGGCTTAAAAGATTTCGCCTAGCGGCCTGGGCTAAGTTGGTGGCTGGAGCTCGCTTGGGAACCCCATGGGCAATCTCGGAGTTCAGCCTCTCGATCGCGTCAGCGCTGAAGGCGTGAGTCATGAAGTCGGACCTGAGATGCTTCTGGCACTCCTTGGATTGCAGCTCCTCCTTTGTGAATAGTCGTTTTTTTTTATTCCGCGGCTGCAAGGGTCCTGCTCGTCTTCGTCGGTCGCCAAAAAGTGGTCGATGCAGGTCGATCTCTCTGCCGCGGTGCTCTCAGTGATGGACAGCGCGTGCATGTTGCAAGGCTTCGACGAGCACTTTGTTTCGCGCCGCCTGAACACAATGCCAGCTGACACCAACGCTGGGTTACGAGCAAAGCGCATCATTCCAAGGTCGTCAACGCTGATGCCGATCATGTCGAGCACGCACCACGGCCACCGTCGGTCTCCGCCAACCCTCCACGCCTTCATGCACTCCAGCGGCTTCTCAGCGCTGAGGTCGATGAGGCTGGTCTCCTTCGAAGAGAGCTTGTCGAGGTTGTTTGCATTCTTCCCATCGCCCTCCAGGTTCGCAACTTTGGCGGGGTCGCCCAACATCGGGCACAGCAAATGGTAGCTGTAGATTCCGACAAGCACGGTCAATATCGGTAGACCCATCATCATGACAACGTTGTTGTAGTATCCGGTTGTCTTCCTAACTCGCGTCTCCTTGAGCTTCTCGCGGTAGTCATCGGTGGCCTCGGCGTCGGCCGTCGGCCGAGTAGGCCAGGTCTGCCTCCTTGTCTCCAACAGACAGGTCGATGCACCCCAGCCCCCCGTTGAGCGCAACTCGACGCAGGCACAGCATGCAAAAATTCGGTAAGACACGTGTCCATCTGCTCTCAACTGGAACCGGGTCCGTCTTGCAAAACATTGCGTTGGTACATGCTACCACGCTGTTATGTCTGCACACCTCGCCGTTCGCGCTTCAAGGTCCAGAAGACTCCGCATCCCAACGGTAGTGAGCCCAGGGTTGATCGCCGCCGACGTCGCGATTCACCACCTTACACAAGAACGTCAAGTCTGTGTGGAACTGGCTTCGCCAAGCGTGCTTGTGCCCACGCCGATGGTACTCCGCATCCAGGTCACACGTGATGTGGCAGAACCTGTCCAGGGCATGGTCCTCGCGAGGAGGAGGCTCGACCTACCTCTTGAGCTTGCACCGCGCATGGAACTCCAAGCATGCAACCATCTTGCCACGAACGTTTGGCAACCGATACATATTGGCGATGCTGTAGGGCCGCATCGTGTGCTCTCGAAATGCTTTCATTGATGCCTTCCCTCTGTCAAGAAAGTGAGCGCCACAGCAATCTGGCCAATAAGGAACTCGCCTCGTAATGTTAGGCAGCTGCTCCATCATGATACACCAGCACTGCCCCCCATCATTTCATCAAGGGTATGTTGCCCGATGCCTTGTCGCACGTGGGCACGATAGAAATGTGGCTTGCGCTACTAAGTGCGCGTCCGTTTCTGCGTAGCCCCTCAAAGCCCCGGTGGCTACTCAGATCCCCCTCCCTGGAGTTCGTGCTTCAGTCGGCTGTTTTGTTTTGGGGGGGGGCTGAAGTCTGGTCTACTCCTCCACTGATGCCTAGTGCGCTTCCCCTCCATTCCATGGCCATGGAGACCGTTATTAGGCTCTGTCATGTTGCATGTGGCCTTTCGAGGCCGCATGCTAATGACCTATTCTGTTATGTTGTGGCCATGCGGTCTACTTCATACTGGAGCTTTTCGTTGCCATATGAAAAGACGGAGCCCGAGACGAAGGAGGGGGAAGGAGGAGGGGGAAGGAGGAGGGAGGAGGGACCCACGGGGAACAACCATGGCGTAGAAATCACAGGAGACGGATGGGATGGCCCAGTAAGTAAAGGCGAGTGAAAGAGGAGGGAAGAATGAGGGAGTGCATGTGCCAAGAACGGACCCCCCTCGTCGCACACATACCTTGAATTTGCCCCCTCCCCCTTGTGCTCACTCCTACGACGCGGCGGCTGCGTTCCTAGATTCCCCTGCATATGTATCCAAGGCCCCTTCCGAGCCCCTACTCATGCACAATGTTGTGAGTGTGCAATGGGCACTCGTATGCGAGCGCGTTTTTCTATGTATGCATTCCGTGTCTGTAAGGACGACACACTTGCTACAGTTGAGAAGGGCACGTCGACAGCACTTCGAAATGAACGTGCAATTCCGCTCATCAACTTGGAAGTTGATGGTCTGGGCGTTTTCCCCTTTTGACGCGCCCCCCGTGGTCCCTTCTCCAGACCGAAGGAAGACCTGGCCCCCAGACCTGCCCAACGAAAAATGATGTGAGACGCACAAGGGCAGATTCGTACTATGTATCCTCCTCGGAGGCGTGCGTCGGACCCGAACATCCAATACAAACATCTTGTAGTATATCGCATCCAGACGGGTATGGCCAGAAAGCGCCTGCCACAGAACTTGCGCTGTAAGATTTCTCGGCGCGCGCGCGTCGCCCCTGGCGGGCGACGCACACCTAGTATCAGTATGTTGGGGTGACGCCGATGCTGGCCGCTTGCTGCTGCAACCAGGCCCTGCTGAGGGGCGGACGTAAATCGGAGCTTCCGTCGGAGGTAAGAAGCGTGACCCCTCCCAGCGTTGCGTGGCCGTCTTCCACACCAGGATGACTGGCCGTGAGAAATTGTCAACCGACGACCACGCTAACACCTTCTCCGCGTTCTGGACCTCCTCCGGGGCAGGAGCCCGCTGAAGGCACCCCTCTGGCGGAAGAAAGATGACAGGAACGAGACTGTCACGGCATGGCTCCGCGCTGCAGGGAATGGATGAACCGATGAGCAATGGGGTTCTTGCACCTCTGTGCCGCACTTCGGCATGTCGAGCGCGCCTCTCCGTACCGTGACAATTGGGTCATGACCTGTTGGGAATGACAGAGCAACCGCAGCGGTGCAATCGAGAGTACCAGACCAACCTCGCAACCAATGCTCGATCATCCAGCGAAGCATGTGTCACAGGGGATCGCATTGCCCCGTCGACCCCCCGAAGCCCGACGAGGACGACGAACACCCAAAACAGCCCAAAGGGTTCGGGCAAATCCCACCAGCCCTGTGCGCCCAGAACGCCCCCAGAGAGGCCCCATGGCTCGCAAGATGGTCCCCAAGCAGGCCACCAGTCACCGAAAGATCGGTCCAAGACGCCCAAGACTGTTTCGAAATGGGACACGAAGTCCCCAGGACCGCGCAAGAGGCCTCCAGGAGGGCCACCAAGAGAGCCCGGAGAGGCGAAACTCATTTCCTTACGGTTTTCCATGTTTTTCGCATTTCTACTTCCTCGGCTTCCCGACGAACCCACAAGCCCAAGAGGCCCCAGAGCGCGCCCCAGGACAGCTCCAGTGCCCCCCGCGAGAGCGTCCACATGGACGGAGAGGCCGGCGTAGGTGGTCTAACACTGTTTCCCTTTCCACTTCCCAAGCCGCCAAGACGCCCCAAGAGGAAGCACATCTCAAGAGATACCTGAAGAGACTCCGAGAGGCATGCAAGAGGCCTCTGGCCTTTCTGCTCGCCCTCCTGCTCCTCCTGCCCCTCCTCCTCCTCCTCCTCCTCCGCCTCCTCCTTCTCCTCCTCCTCCTCCTCCTTCTCTTCCTCATCTGCCCATTCCTCCTCCTCCCTCCTCCCTTATCCCCCTCCCCCTCCTCCTCCCCCTTATCCTTCTCCTCATCCGATTCCTCCTCCATCCTCCCCCTCATGGGGTATGACGGCTTCCCCAGCCTTTATTACACTGCACGCTCCTCCACATCCCTGATCAGGGCAGCTCGCCTGGACATCGTTTCCGGATGGACTGGTGGGGCGACGCGAAGTGTCTACAATGTGTTTCAAGCGTCTGGCGTGCCCAGTAAGAACGGTTCTCGCATCAGGTCCAGGAATGATTCGATTCGACTGGCTTAGGCCTTCAGATTTTATATTGCACCATCACAGCATCTACCACAGTGTCTGCAACTGATACTACTGTTACTACTATTGCGAAAATTACAATATCGGTGGGAATGCGGCCACGCCTTTGTGAGATTTTACGAGCCCTGATCTTATTTCTATGTTGTAATGCCACCAGCTCCAATTTCTCGGCGCAGGTGGTTTATAGCGGTTCCTTTTCCAACTCATCTTTTCTTCCCCTTCGGGGAGGGGGGACATCTTTCCCTTCGCAGTACACGCTCCTACTCAACCGCCTGGCCAGCAGGTGTGGGCCGCATCCAGGTGGTTCCACTCTACGTGCTTGAAATTGAAACAGAGTCGACGTTGTTCCTCTCAGCATGACGGTTTTGGCGCCGGCGCTACGGAGTGCAGGACGGGAAGAGGGGATGGGGTGCAAATCGCGCGCGCAAGGGCGAAGTGTCGCCCACGCGTTGGCGTCGCGCCGGGTCGCCGGCGCGGCGAACACTGTCGCTTGCCAATGCGTTGGCGCGCGAGCGGGCGACCATGTCGCTCCTGCCTCGGCTCCGCGCAGATTTGTGCCTGACCGTGGCGCTCCCGCTGACGCGGCGCATATTTTTTCGCTCGCCTAGTCGTTGGGGGCAGGGCAGCGCGCGAGCGGGCAAACTCTCGCCTTCGCTCGCCATGGCTCGGACGACCATTCTCCGTGAATGCTTCGATTTCGTGCGTGTGTTTTGCTCGATGATCCAGGATGCTCCTCGATGGTCCCCGCCGAGAAAAAATGCACACGTCCGAGGGAGGCCAAGTTCGCCCAAGCTCCGCTGAGACTTCGCCTGGGAGTGGCATCGCCGCGCGGCCGCGGCGCATGCATGTTCTCCGATTCGCATCAGGAGCGGCAGCGGCAGCGGCGCCTTGCGACAGCGGGCGCAGTGCCCTCGCCCAGGCACCGCGCAGCTCGTTTGTGAGGGTGGAAGTGCTAGTCCAGCGTGGCGCATGCATCCTCTTCGCCGCGGTCACCCAAACTCCCACCGCAAGAGAGATGGCCAGACTGCACCCTCTCGCCGCGGCGCACGAGGACTTCTGAGGCTCCGCCCTCGCCCGTGGCCGGCCCGCGATCCGTCGCACACCAGGTCGTCGGAAGCGGGAGCGCGCGAGCGCCATCCGTTCTCCTGGTGGGGGCGCATTCCCAATCCCAACATCAAGTTGTGCAACAAGTGATTATGTTGATATTGGTCTCGGCAGGGGGGGGGGGACGAGGGGTCAGAGCTTCCAATGGGGGCCCAAGATGGCCCCGATAGGGCCTCGGATAGCCCAGGATGGCCCACAAGATGGCGCAGCATACCTCAAGATGGCGCAGTCTGATTTCCAAGATGCCTCCGAGAGGCTCCGAGACCGCCACCAGACCTCCCAGATCGCCCCCGAAAGGCCATGACCTCTCAACGTCTGTGGGATTTCAGTGATGTTTGCCTTCTGAGGCTTCACGATGCCTCCAGGATCGCACGAGAGAGCCGCAGCAAGGGCCCAGACGAGACTGCCCCACGAACGCCCCAGGGTGGCTCCACGAGGCGGTCTCTCGGGCCCTGACGGCGGGGGATACTTCGGGACCCACGAGAACTCCTGGTCCTACCTCTCCACCTCCTCCTCCTCCTCCTCCTCCTCCTCCTCCCTCCTCCTCCTCCTCCTCCTCCTCCTCCTCCTCCTCCTCCTCCTCTCCTCCTCCTCCTCCTCCTCCTCCTCCCTTCCTCCTCCTCCTCCTCCTCCTCCTCCTCCTCCTCCTCCTCCTCCTCCTCCCCTCTTTCCATAGCCAAGACCGATGAACCACATGAGGTTCTGACACCACCTGGCATCTCGGAAGCATCCCTTGGGGGCTTTTGGCCCAAGATGGCTCCACCATTGCTCCATGCAGCCCGACTTGATTGTACAGGACACGCGAGAGGACACAAGACCCTTCCGAGTGCCACGTTGCCATAGGAATGTGGGAGGCATAGGCCGCGAGACACAGGACACAAGGGTACCCTCGATTTGGCAGGATCGACCTACGAATCAGTGCCGAATCTAGTGGCTTCTCGCCTTTTCGCATCCGATGGGCCTTGAAAAGGCCTCAACATCCCTGCGCGATAACCCCAGCAAGCGCCCCAAGCGAGGCCCAGCACGGCTCTCCAAGACGGCCGCACGAGCGCCCAAGATCGCCCCCAGAGCTTCCCAAGATGGCCCCGTAACTCGCCATCGCTCGGACGTCCATTGCCTGTTTTTTTTTTCCAGTTTCGTGCGTGGTTTTTTCGCCAAGTGATCAAGGATGCTCCTCGATGGTTCTCGCCGAGAAAAAATTGCACACGTCCGAGCGATGCCAGGGCCCTGAGGTGGCCCAACTGAGCTCCCGAGGGGCTCCCGGATCGAAGGAGGCGCGACGGCACTTCCGGCCTGCGCCCGGGCCTTCTGTTCAGGCCGATCGCGAACTTCGGTTTGACGGCTGCCTCCTGCTTTCTCCCGCTGCTTGCCGCTTCGCTTCCCTGGCTAGGCCAACTCGCCTGGTATAGTTTCTGGATGGGCCGGAGAGCAGGCGACACACATGATAACACTACCACCTCTACTCCAAACGTAACCACCAATGCGATTACTCACATGACAAGTACCAGCTCTACCGCTACCTTAATGAACGATCAGCAGTGGACAAACCTCCCTTTAATAATCCACCATTTCGTGAAAAACGGCCTGGGACCGAAACCAACGGATGGACCTGGACCCACAAATATGACGGCCGCAACGCCCCCTCGCGAACCGAAAACGGCCCATTCGCCAATCGACGTGTCAGGGTAGGAGGTCTATCAACCTCCGAAGCTCTTACTTACTTCTACTGCGATGATTGAGCTTCCCTCAGGGTCAAGCCGACCTCAGACACCCCGAGGCCCCGCTGGCATCACCGCAGCTCCCCCAGGACCCCATGGAGGCCATCCCAGCCAGGCTGCCAGCAGCGGTGACCCCACACGCAGCAGCGCACAGAAGCTACAATCGGGGCGCTGACCTAAGGAACTCGAAATACGGAACGAGGCCCCCTATCCCCATAAGTTAAACTTCGATTTACCAAGGAAAACCTTAGGATAACCTCAGACAAACTGTTAAACCATCAAGGAACACCGAGCCCCTCCCCAACGAAAAAGGTTCCTTCTTCAGCGCCCCGACTGTACTCTGGGTTTCTTGGTAAGCGTGAGGGGGTACCCCTCCGACGGGGGTCAACCTCGCCTCGCCGTCGCGCCGCCGACGGAGGTCGGAGCGCCCTCGGGGAGCGGTGGCTGCCCGCGACGGGGGTCGGTGTGGGGCCGTCGGCGGAGGTGACGACCCCCCCCCCCCCCGACGCTGATCAAGAAGCTCGGAGCAACGCAGCGACTGCGCATCTCTGACCGAAGAAAAACTTCATACGAGGAGGACACATCCGGCCCAGTGAGCGGGGGCGACGCCACCACGCGATGCGAGAGCATGATGCCCTCATCTTGCCGGTGGTCGAAGCACCGCTCCGGAGCTTGGGATGCCAGCTCCAACGTGGAGAGGGAACTCGCCATCGCTCGGACGTCCATTCCCTGTGTTTTTTCCGGTCTCGTGCGTGGTTTTTTCGCAAAATGGTCGAGGATGCTCCTCGATGGTTCTCGCCGAAGGAAAAATGCACACGTCCGAGCGATGCCAAGCACTCGTCGTCGATCGTCGGCCTGCCTCAGGTTCCAGAGATCCTGTGGGTCCACGAGGTCATCGGAGGAGAGGGACTTCGTGTGAGGCACATGCTGGCGAAGTGCCTGGTTTTCGGATTCGCATCATTTCTGTGAGCGCCCGCTGGACAGGCAACGAAGCAGGAGGGGCGGTGTCTGTCATTAGGGGAACGAAGAATGATATAAACATAAAAACTCGGGGGTCCGCGCGAATTTCTCGGATCCGCGCTGGACCCCCCTCCATGGCGCACGGAGCGCGCCAGGGGCGGCGCAGGAGGCGCCGCCAGGGGCCCCCTGGCGGCCCGTCCGGCGCCGATCCGAGAAATCCGCGCGGACCTCCGAGTTTTTATGTTTATGTCACTTTTTGTTCCCCTGGAACAAGGCGTAGCCATGAGCACTTTTCCTGGCAAAGGGCCCAACCATATGCGGTTGTGAGTATCGCCGTTGTGAATATCGCCTTCGGTGGATCTCCTCATGGGGCCACGAAGCGTGTAAAGTGCGTGTCGACATGTGGTGGGGACGCATGCGGGCGCTGCCATTGGGGCCTTCGGTTGCGCTCCATATGGGGCCACGAAGCGCGTGAGGGGTATGCCGGAATGGGAATGGCCGCCAAGCGAACCCTGCCACTGGGGCCTTCGGTGGGGCTCCACATGGGGCCTCGAAGCGCGTAAGGGGTATGCCGGAATGGGAGGAAGGACGCATGCGAGCGTCGCCACTGGGGCCTTCGGTAGAGCTCCGTATGGGGCCACGAAGCGCGTGAGAGGTGTGCCGAAATGGGCGGGGGGGAGACGCATGTGATCACAGCCACCAGGGCCTTCGGTGGAGCTCCATATGGGGCCACGGCACGCCGTACTGGGTGGCGCGGGACGCATGTGGTCAAAGTCACTTGGGCCTTCGGTGGAGCCCCCTATGGGGCTACGAAGCGCCGTGCTGGGTTGCGTGGGACGCATGTGGTCACAGCCATTGAGGCCTTCGGTGGAGCTCCATATGGGGCCACGAAACGCCGGACTGGGTGGCGCGGGACGCATGTGGTCAAAGCCACTGGGGCCTTCGGTCAAGCTCCCTATGGGGCCACGAAGCGCTGCACTGGGTGGCGCGGGACGCATGTAATCACAGCCACTGGGGCTTTCGGTGGAGCTCCCTGTGGGGCCACGAATCGCCGTACTGGGTTGCGCGGGAGGCATGTGGTCACAGCCACCCTTCGGTGAAGCTCCCCACGGGGCAACGGAACGCCGTACCAGGTTGCGCGGGACGCATGTGGGCACAGCCACTGGGGCCTTCGGTGGAGCTCCCTATGGGGCCACGAAGCGCTGCACTGGGTGGCGCGGGACGCATGTGGTCACAACCACTTGGGCCTTCGGTCAAGCTCCCTGTGGGGTCACGAAGCGCTGTACTGGGTGGCGCGGGACGCATGTGGTCACAGCCACTGGGGCCTTCGGTGGAGCTCCCTGTGGGGCCACGAAGCGCCATACTGGGATGCGCGGAACGCATGTGGTCACAACCACTGGGGCCTTCGGTGGAGCTCCCTATGGGGCCACGAAGCGCTTCACTGGATGCCGCGGAACGCACGTGGGCACAGCCATTGGGGCCTTCGGTGGAGCTCCATATGAAGCCACGAAACGCCGTATTGGGTGGCGTGGACGCATGTGGTCACAGCCATGGGGGCCTTCGGTGGAGCTCCCCATGGGGCCGCGGAACGCCGTACTGGGTCGCGTGGACGCATGCGGGCGGCGCCACTGGGGCCCTCGGTGGAGCTCCATATGGGGCCACGAAACGCCGTACTGGTTTGCGCGGGGCGCATGTGGTTACAGCCACTGGGGCCTTCGGTGAGGTTTCGTGTGGAGCCTGGGTGGCACGGGGCGCATGCGGGCGGCGCCACTGGGGCCTTCGATGGAGCTCCAAATCGGTCCTCGAAGCGCCGTAGTGGGTGGGGTGGGACACATGCGTGCGGCACCACCAGGGCCTTCGATGGAGCTCCATATCTGTCCTCGAAACGCCGCACTGGGCGGCGTGGGACGCATGCGGGCGGCGCCACTGGGGCCTTCGGTGGAGCCCCCTATGGGGCCACGGCGCGCCGTATTGGGTCGCGTGGGACGCATGCGGGCGGCGCCACCAGGGCCCTCGGTGGAGCGCCACGTCAGGGTTCGAAGCGCCGTACTGAGTGGCCCGGGACGGCACCACCAGGGCCTTCGGTGGAACTGCATACGGTGCCATGAAACTACGTACTTGGTGTCGTGGGACGCATGAGGGCGGCGCCGCTGGGGCCTTCGGTGGAGCTCCCTGTTGGGCCACGAAACGCCGTACTGCGTGGAGTGGGACGCATGCTGGCGGCACCACCGGGACCTTCGGTGGAGCTCCATATGGGGCCACGGCACGCCGTACTGGGTTGCGCGGGACGCATGCGGGCGGCGGCATTGGGTCTTCGGTGTAGCTCCACATGGGGCCACGAAACGCCGTACTGGGTTGCGTGGAACGCATGCGGGCGGCGCCTCCGGGGCCCTCGGCGGAGCTCCATATGGGGCCACGAAACGCCGTACTGCGTTGAGTGGGACGCATGCTGGCGGCACCACGGGGGCCTTCGGTGGAGCTCCATATGGGGCCACGACACGCCGTACTGGGTTGCGCGGGACGCACGCGGGCGGCACCTCCAGGGCCTTCGGTGTAGCTCCACATGAGGCCACGAAACGTTGTATTGGGTGGCGTGGGACGCATGCGGGCGGCGCCACTGGGGCCCTCGGTGGAACTCCAGATGCGGCCACGAAAAGCCGTAATGGGTGGCGCGGGACGCATGCGAGCGGAGCCATTGGGTTCTTTCGGTGGAGCTCCATATGGGGCCACGAAGCGCCGCACAGGCCGGCGTGGGAGGCATGCGGGCGGCGCCACTGGGGCCTTCGGTAGAGCTCCGTATGGGGTCACGAAGCGCCGTGGGTGGCGCGGGACGCATGCGGGCGGCACCACCAGGGCCTTCGGTGGAGCGCCATATGGACCACGAAGCGCTGTACTGGCTGGCGCGGGACGCATGCGGGCGGCGCCATTGGGGCCTTAGGTGGAGCTCCATATGGGGCCACGAAGCGCCGTACGGGGTGGCGCGGGACGCGTGCGGGCGCCGGCACTGTGGGCTTCTGTGGAGCGCCATGTGGGACCACGATCCTAGTCAGGCGTGTACCAAAATTGTGGACTTGCGGAGAGCAGAGGCTCCAGAGGCTGGGATGGAAGGATGGATGAGGAGAAGAAGGGAGGAGGAAGGAGAGGAGAGGAGAGGAGACGCGGGGCGCTGCCTCTTCAAAACGAGGGCCCAACACCACAGGATGGCTGGGATAACGAGGAACCAGCACCACAGGATTGTTGGGACTAACAGCTGGCCAACATTTGGCATAGTGTTGTATCATTCGCGAGAACGCCCGTGACGAGCCCTGATCACGACTCGCGCCGGGGCCGTCTGGGAATTAGCCATTCCTGAACATTCCCAGACGTCGCTGGCGCGAATCGTGGGACTGGCCCCTATCCCCCTATCATGCCCGTGATCGCCAGGGGAGAAGTACCCGAAATGTAAGAATCCAAGCCCCCTGCTCCACGTGGGGCGACTATTTATATGCACGCTACAGACACCAGAACACGTTGCGAGAACAACCTGCTCCGCTCGACCTCCCAGGCTCTCACGGAAGTGACAACCGTTGCGCAGCTCGCGGCCCCCCAGGAAGCCGCGAGGTCTCGACGGGATCGACGTGGCGATCCATCCCGTTCGACCTCCCAGGAGCCCCCGAGAGAGGCAACAGTTGCGCAGCTGGTAGCTGCCCCGGGGGCCGCGAGGTCTCGACTGCTTACTGCCTCCGCTGGACCTCCCAGGAGCCCACGAAAGGGACGACAGATGCGCAGTTGGAAGCCTCCCAGGGAGCCACGAGGTCTGGCCTGCCCACCGCCTTCGCCGAGCCTCCCAGGGAGCCGCGAGGTCTCGCCTGCCCACCGCCCCGACGTCGTCCCCGACCCTCCAAAAAGCACTTGGATTGAAGGAGAGCCCGCCACTGGTAATGTATATGTTCCAGCTTTCAACTACTCAAAACCAGCGGAGATGTCTCCCAAACATAGACGACTGAGTGCATCGGAAAGCCCATCCGACGGAGGCCTCGGCCCCGGGCTGGGCCTCTCCCTGCGAGCGCGCCGCGCGGTCCTTGCTGCAGGAGACGCCCGGCAGCAGGCTCAGCGTGACCTCCCCCGAGGCCCCCCGCGGAGCGCACCCGCCGGCGAGGATTGTGCGGGGGCGGCCCGAGACTCCTCCTCCTCCTCCTCCTCCTCCTCCTCCTCCTCCTCCTCCTCCTCTTCCTCCTCTTCCTCCTCCTCCTCCTCCTCTTCCTCCTCTTCCTCCTCCTCCTCTTTCTCCTCTTCCTCCTCCTCCCCTTCCTCCTCTTACTCCTCCTCCTCTTCTCCTCTTCCTCCTCTTCATCGTCTCTTCCTCCTCCTCCTCTTCTCCGCTTCCTCGTCTCTTCCTCTTTTTCCTCTTCATCGTCTCTTCCTCCTCTTCATCGTCTCTTCTCCTTTTCCTCCTCCTCCTCTTCTCCTTTTCTTCCTCCTCCTCTTCCTCCTCCTCTTCCTCCTTTCCTCCTCCTCCTCCTCCTGCTCTTCCTCTTCCTCCTCTTCCTCCTCTTCTCCTCCTCCTCCTCCTCCTCCTCCTCTTCGTCCTCCTTCTCTTCTCCTTTCCTCCTCTTCATCGTCTCTTCCTCCTCCTCTTCCTCCTCCTCCTCCTCCTCCTCTCCTCCTCTTCCTCGTCACTTCCTCTTCCTCCTCTTCATCGTCTCTTCCTCCTCTTCATCGTCTCTTCTCCTTTTCCTCCTCCTCTCCTCCTCCTCCTCCTCTTCCTCCTCCTCCTCTTCCTCCTCCTTCTCCTCCTTTTCCTCCTCTTCATCGTCGTCGTGGTCGTCGTCGTCGTCTTCCTCCATTCCTTTTCCTTATGAATACTTCCACCCTGTCGCGCCCGAAACCAGTCGAAGGGCGCGCCGGGCGTTTCGCCTGACTTCCTCTCCCCATCTTTGATCCTGAAGCTTAGAATCTGCAGCATCTTTTACTGATGGAGGGCGGGTGCTTTTCAAAACGTGGCTCTCGCCGAGGCGCCGCACACATTCGTCTTAAGAAAGTTCCCAGAGCTCCACGGATGGCGGGCGGGCCGCTCTTCAGAATGTGGCTCTTGCCGCAGCGCTGCGCACACTCTCGCCATAACAGGTTGCAGAAGTGCTTCACGGATGGGCGGTGGGCCGTTTCCACAGTGTGGCTCCCGCCCGGGCGCCGCGCAAGTTCGCCTCTACAAGTTGCAGGAACTTTACACACGGAAGGCGGGCCGCTTTCAAAGTGTGGCTCTCGCCGTAGCGTCGCGCACATTCGACTCAACAAAGTGCAGCAGCTTCACGGATGGAGGGCGGGCTGCTTTCACAATTTGGCTCTCGCCGTAGCGCCGCGCACATTCGTCAGAAGAGTTGCAGCAGTTTTAAAGGTTCTCAGGGTTAACGTCCCAGTTTTTTTTTTGGCACGGTGTTGGACTGAAGGGCGCAACAATTACGTTGATTCGAGGTGTTGCAATCCCAGATATGGCGTTCCGGCACGATGCGGCATCGTCAAGACACAATAGTAGCGGTGATTCGCCGCGTTGATGTCCCAGGGATGGTGTTCTGGCACAGTTCAAGGTTTTCAAATGTTTGTTTTCCGATGGGGGGCTGCCTTCAATAAATATGAATTCTTCGAGGGGCCTATGAAGAGGGAGCTTGGAGGGAGGGTTTATCGCAACATCCTTGATGCATCTTGGGTTTGCACTGGTCCTTTCCTCCTCCTCCTCCTCCTCCTCCTCCTCTTCCTCCTCCTCTTTTCCTTGTCCTCCTCTCACTCGTCGTCGTGGACGTCGCCGTCGTCGCCGTCGTCGTCGTCGACGTCGTCGTCGTCGTCGTCGTCTTCCTCCTCCTCCTACTTCTCTTCTTTCCCTTCCTCCTCCTCTTTTCCTTTTCCTCGTCTTCCTCGTCGTCGTGGTCATCGTCGTCCTCCTCCTCGTCCTCGTCCTCGTCCTCGTCCTCCTCCTCGTCCTCCTTCCCCTCCGCGACCCAGACCTCCAGCGACTCGGGGACATCGTGTTTGGGAGGTCCCGTCGCCTCACATCCAAGAACGGCATCATGTTTGAACCGTTCTGGGTCTCAAGAAGGCCTCTGTACCCTTCAGGGGCGCACGCTTGAGCAGGGACCGACCGTTCTGGTATTCCTATAGGCCTACCACGACATGTTCTTAGAACATCTTAGAACCCCAAAGTATTGTAAACACAAAACAATGTTCTCCTAACATAAGCCAGATGTGTTGAAACAAGACAGTCTCAGCCAGAAGTGTTGAAACAAGACAGTCTCAGCCAGAAATGCTCCAAGAACACTTCGTACAGAACACAAGAGAATCTTAGAACATTCTCTGGTGGGCCTATAGGCGAGCCAGGAAGTTTCGCCACTGCTTTGACACGCGGATCTCTGGGAACCTCCGCAGACCTCTCGGAAGCCCAAAATATCGCGCCGGCGAGGGGGGCTCCGCCATTGTGGGCCTCCAGGAGCGAGCAGCAGGCCTGGGGCCCGTCAGATAGCAGATCAAGAGGAGACGCTGGTCACGGGAAGCAGTTTGCCCATGGTCTTAGGTCGGGCATGTCCCCATACAGGCGGATTTGGACGACAAATAAAAAATCCAAACATACCCAAACATAGCAAAACAACGTTACCTTCCTATTTGTTGTCTATTCTCGAATACTCCTCCTGTAGAGGGACATGCCCGACTTGACTATGGTCAATCGGTTGCTGTTTGGACAGTGGAGCTTTCAATGTTTCAGTGATCCTGCCAAGCTGACCCCTGCTGCTCTCCGCCAGATGGAGCCTCTCGCTTCATGGCAACTTTCGGGGGCGCCCTGCATAGCGACGTTCCAGTGGCCTAATTTCCCGTGGGGGTCCTGTCTGACCCGTGACAATGAAGTCTGCGCGGTGCCGTGAAATTCGTGCCGTCCTGGCCACGCCAAGCGTGCTTTGCATGTCGTGTTGCTCCATGGTTTCCCGCATCGCAGTGTGTGTGTGTGTGTGTGTGTGTGTGTGTCAGCCGCGCGATTTAGTGCGAAATTGGTTCCAATATTGCGCACGCGTGCTGACAAAATGATACGCGCGTGGAGCCAGATTTTTTATTTTCTGGGATAGCGGCCGTCACGGGGCCCGCCCCCCTCCCCCCCAAAATGACGTCACGTTCTGCGCCGGCGGCGTCCGGAAATGCCTCGGGATGATCGAGGCCTAGTAGGAGCAGCATGTAGGCGGCGATATGCACCACTGCGCCTGTGTACACCATGGTCCTCGCGTGCACCACAGCGCGAGTGTACACCACAGCGCCTGTGTACACCGCGACAGCCGTGTGCAACGCAGCGCCCGTGTACACCACAGCGCTTGCGTGCACCACAGAGCGTGTGTACACCTCAGTGCTTGCATGCACCGCATCGCCTGTTCACACCACAGCGCCTGTGTACACCACAGTGCTTGCATGCACCGCAGCGCTTGTGTGCACCACAGCGCCTGCGTGCACAAGACAAGTCGAAGGAGCATGTAGGTGAGGATCTGCTGCGGACAACTGAACATCACGCAAGGTAAGTGCTGATGATAGGATGCGATGATATTCCCTCGCCCCTCCTTCTCATCCTCCTCCTCCCTCACCCTTCCCCCCGTCGTGCGGGTCGGCGCTACAACCCAGGTGCGCATCTCAGTGTGCACCACGGGATGGTGTACTGAATCAGTCCACTTGGTCTTCGGACGGCCAATTCTGCGGGAGCCCTCTGCACGCAGCTTCTGGACGCAGATGGGAGGAGTTAGGATGATGTGGGAGGACTCGAGAGGACTCGTTGATTCCAACGGCGCTCTTTTTTTCATTCGGATTCTTATCCAAATCCGATATAGAACAATTTGTTCAATGGAATCCACAGGCGCCCCATTTTGTCGTAAGGATTCCTTCTCAAATTCTATGTCCAAGAACGGTGTTCTGTTGCACGAGGTTGCTTTGGTGCACGCAGGCGCCGTGGTGCCGTGGTGTACACAGGCGCTGTGGTGCACGCAGGCACTGCGGTGTACACAAGTGCTGTGCTGCACACGCCAGCTGTGGTGTACGCAGGCGCCGTGGTGTACACAAACGCTGTGGTGCACGCAGGCACTGTGGTGCACACTGGCGGTGTGCTGCACGCGGCTTGCATGGTGTACGTGGGCGGTGTGGTGTGCTCTCGCGCTGTGGTGCACGCGAGGACCGTGGTGTACACAGGCGCTCTGGTGCAGATCGCCACCTACATGCTGCTGCTACCCGTCCTCGGTCATTCCTAGGCATTCCAGGACGCCGCCGGCGCGAAACGTGACATCATCGGCCTCCCTCCAAATGACGGCTGTCATCGCCTCCGAATAAAATTAGCCTGGCGAAGGACCCAACCATATGCAGTTGTGAATGCCGCAATTGTGCTGGGTGGTGGCGGACGCATGCGGGCGGTGCCACTGGGACCTTCGGTGGAGCTCCCTATGGGGCCACGAAACGCTGTACTGGGTGGGTGAGACGCGGTCAGCAAGGGCTGTGCTGCGTGGTGGCGGACGCATGCGAGCGGTGCCACTGGGACCTTCGGTGGAGCTCCCTATGGGGCCACGAAACGCTGTACTGGGTGGGTGAAACGCAGGCAGGGAGCAAGGGCTGTGCAGGGTGGTGGCGGACGCATGCGGGCGGTGCCGCTGGGACCTTTGGTGGAGCTCCCTATAGGGCTACGAAGCGCTGTTCTGGGTGGGTGAAGCGCAGGGAACAAGGGCTGTGCTGGGTGGTGGCGGACGCAAACGGGCAGTGCCACTGGGACCTTTGGTGGAGCCCCCTATGGGACCTTTGGTGGGGCCCCCTATGGGGCCACGAATGGGGTGTGGAACCGCATGCCAGCGCAGCCACTGGGGCCTTCGGTGGAGCTCCCTATGGAAACACGAAACGTGTGAGGGGTGTGCCGAAGTGGGGGGTGGAACCGCATGCGAGCGCAGCCACTGCGGCGTTCGGTGGAGCTCCCTATGGGGCCACGAGACGTGTGAAGGTCGTGCCGAAAAAAGGGTGTGGAACCGCATGCGAGCGCAGCCACTGGGGCCTTCGGTGGAGCTCTCTATGGGGCCACGAACCGTGTGAGGGGTGTGCCGAAATGGGGGGGGAACCACATGCGAGCGCAGCCACTGGGGCGTTCGGTGGAGCTCCCCATGGAGCCACCCACGAAGCGTGTGAGGGGTGTGCCGAAATGGGGGGTGGGACCGCATGCGAGCGCAGCCACTGGAGCGTTCGGTGGAGCTCCCTATGGGGCCACGAAACGTGTGAGGGGTGTGCCAGAATGGGGGGTGGAACCGCATGCGGGCGCAGCCACTGGGGCCTTCGGTGGAGCTCCCTATGGGGCCACGAAACGTGTGAGGGGTGTGCCAGAATGGGGGGTGGAACCGCATGCGGGCGCAGCCACTGGGGCCTTCGGTGGAGCTCCCTATGGGGCCACGAAACGTGTGAGGGGTGTGCCAGAATGGGGGGTGGAACCGCATGCGGGCGCAGCCACTGGGGCCTTCGGTGGAGCTCCCTATGGGGCCACGAAACGTGTGAGGGGTGTGCCAGAATGGGGGGTGGAACCGCATGCGGGCGCAGCCACTGGGGCCTTCGGTGGAGCTCCCTATGGGGCCACGAAACGTGTGAGGGGTGTGCCAGAATGGGGGGTGGAACCGCATGCGGGCGCAGCCACTGGGGCCTTCGGTGGAGCTCCCTATGGGGCCACGAAACGTGTGAGGGGTGTGCCAGAATGGGGGGTGGAACCGCATGCGGGCGCAGCCACTGGGGCCTTCGGTGGAGCTCCCTATGGGGCCACGAAACGTGTGAGGGGTGTGCCAGAATGGGGGGGGAACCGCATGCGGGCGCAGCCACTGGGGCCTTCGGTGGAGCTCCCTATGGGGCCACGAAACGTGTGAGGGGTGTGCCAGAATGGGGGGTGGAACCGCATGCGGGCGCAGCCACTGGGGCCTTCGGTGGAGCTCCCTATGTGAGGGGTGTGCCACCGCATGCGGGCGCAGCCACTGGGGCCTTCGGTGGAGCTCCCTATGGGGCCACGAAACGTGTGAGGGGTGTGCCAGAATGGGGGTGGAACCGCATGCGGGCGCAGCCACTGGGGCCTTCGGTGGAGCTCCCTATGGGGCCACGAAGCGTGTGAGGGGTGTGCCAGAATGGGGGGTGGAACCGCATGCGGGCGCAGCCACTGGGGCCTTCGGTGGAGCTCCCTATGGGGCCACGAAACGTGTGAGGGGTGTGCCAGAATGGGGGGTGGAACCGCATGCGGGCGCAGCCACTGGGGCCTTCGGTGGAGCTCCCTATGGGGCCACGAAACGTGTGAGGGGTGTGCCAGAATGGGGGGTGGAACCGCATGCGGGCGCAGCCACTGGGGCCTTCGGTGGAGCTCCCTATGGGGCCACGAAACGTGTGAGGGGTGTGCCAGAATGGGGGGTGGAACCGCATGCGGGCGCAGCCACTGGGGCCTTCGGTGGAGCTCCCTATGGGGCCACGAAACGTGTGAGGGGTGTGCCAGAATGGGGGGTGGAACCGCATGCGGGCGCAGCCACTGGGGCCTTCGGTGGAGCTCCCTATGGGGCCACGAAACGTGTGAGGGGTGTGCCAGAATGGGGGGTGGAACCGCATGCGGGCGCAGCCACTGGGGCCTTCGGTGGAGCTCCCTATGGGGCCACGAAACGTGTGAGGGGTGTGCCAGAATGGGGGGTGGAACCGCATGCGGGCGCAGCCACTGGGGCCTTCGGTGGAGCTCCCTATGGGGCCACGAAACGTGTGAGGGGTGTGCCAGAATGGGGGGTGGAACCGCATGCGGGCGCAGCCACTGGGGCCTTCGGTGGAGCTCCCTATGGGGCCACGAAACGTGTGAGGGGTGTGCCAGAATGGGGGGTGGAACCGCATGCGGGCGCAGCCACTGGGGCCTTCGGTGGAGCTCCCTATGGGGCCACGAAACGTGTGAGGGGTGTGCCAGAATGGGTGTGGGAGGGGGAGGAGGGGGGAGGAAGGGGAGGAGGAGGAAGGAGGAGGAGGAACGCGGGGCAACGTCTCTTCAAAACGAGGACCCAACACCACAGGATGGTTGGGAAAAAAAACACGCTTGTGTCTGGTCGCACTTGCCGTACCGCGCGTGCCGGGCCGTGCGTTCTGTGCAGCACGTGCCTTGCATGATCGTGCGGTGCATGAGCGCTCCGCGACGCGCGTTCGAGGACAGTTTGCAAACGACTCGGAGCCAACTAAGGGCAAGCTAAGACTAACGGATCGGCTGAGCGACTACCACCACTGCTAGTATCACTACCACTACCAGGTGCCATTACCATTCTCTAAAACTGTAACACTTGTCACCAACATGTCTTCTACTACTGCCCACGCTGATACTAACTCTGACGAGTCATGCCAAAGCTGAGCTCTCGCTGATGCGGTAAACCTCAGCTGAAGCTCGAGCTCCAGCTAATGATTACCTCAACTGATAGAAAGCTTCAGATAAAAAGGCAAAGGTAATGCGACAGCTCAAACTCATAATGAAGGCAGCGCGAGGATCCCAAACGGCAGGTTCTTGCACTCCGGATGTGCGTGCTATGTGGTGCACGCCATACAGCACCGAGCTTACAACCCGCCTCGAAATCAAATGCAAGTTCTTAGTCTTGGTCGACGCGCGAAACGCGGCCCACGGGGTCAGATGTTTGTGTTTGCAATCGCCAACTTCGGCGCGAACATTCAAATGTTGGACTTCCGGGTCGCCGCCACATCGCGGGAAAAACTTGCCCTTGACCTCGAGGGGGAGATATCGGACACCCGGCACTGGGCACCGATCACGAGGCACCAACCAGAGGGCACAGACTAGATCGGCACCGAGCGCGAGCGGCCGATCACGGCGCATGGGGCGCCAGCCACAGCGCACCGGCCACAAGTGAACCGGGCTGGAGTGGCCGGCCACGGCCCACACGGCGCTCCATATGGCGCCGGCGACAGAGCGCCAGGCACAGGGCCAAAAACCGTAGGCCACTGACGAGCGAACGGCCGACCACGAACCCCCAGGGCACAAACCTTAGGCGCGAACGGCCGCCTGCAACGCCCAGAGCCAGTTACACACGGCCCAGCAGGAGACTCGATCAGCAAGCACTGGCTGGGGAACGCCCACACAAACGCACGTGCAACTTGACAGAATAACCAACAGTTATAGGTATGTAATTTCTTATCTCTCGGCCATGGACACCAACCGCGACAGGGCGACTGCGACCAAGAGGGCAAGTGCCCTAGATCAAAGAGCGCAAACGGCCACATGACACATACCCCGAACGGCGGACGCGATCCTGAGGGCAACTTTTATAAAACACCGAGCCGGAACGGCGTACGGTCGACCGCGACACAAAGGACAAATTCTTCGAAAAAGAGGTAAGGGCCCCTAGGTGCATAACACCAGGAGTGCAAGAGGAAGATCGATATCGTGTGTGGTGATGTCCCATCGAGACGAAATTACTTTGTTTTGAAATGCGACGCTGCTGCCCACTTCAACTGCAACGAGATGCCGCGATTGGACAGCAGGAAACATGCAGGCCTCAAGACAGGAGGCGTACATTCTCGCAGGCGGTCACGAAGCCGCTGCAAAATCTCCAGCTGAGACCTGCTGATGGCGCGCGGGCCCAAGGTAGCGACTGAACACGGATCCCGCAGACGATTGGGGCGAGCTGTCACAGCTACCACCGGCCCCATATCAGGTGAAACCAGCTTTCTTCCGCTACATGTGCGAAAGGCGAGCTGACTTACCCGCGATCGCCGGGGACACGCGCCTGGCATGGGTCGAGACCCAGGGATCTCTGGAGGGATTCCTGAAGCGAGGGAAGGCGGA